GTAATAATAATACATCTATATACTTGCATCCTAGGTTTTTTCTTAGCCATAATTTTAGGCCATTATTTTAACCCAAATCATAATTTATCAGCTGGAAATAGCACAATTTAATTAACAATCTTCTGTAAGCTTTGATATGTAAATGGTAAGCTTTTACTATTTAATCACCTTATGAGAAAATATTCTCCAGATCACCTTAACAGTTTATTCACTTATTAATCAACTTGTGCATTAATTAATTAATTAACCATTACTTCTTATCAGGTGCTGCTCCAGGCTTCAAAATAGATCCCTGAACAAAATAAGATCCTTGCCTTCCTTGAACATACATTCTAGTTGGAGGAGGCAGGCATCAATATTTACATAGCAGTTTATATAAAATGCTAACACTAAGGGAAAGAAAACAGAGCAGACTGGGGAAGGTGGGATGTTCTTGTATTGGGTCTTATTGAGCAAATGCCGATTGGATGGGATTAGCCCTGAGAATATTTTGGGTAAGGATATTTTAGTACCTTTGGTGGTGGACCTGGTGTATTCGAGGAATAGCAAAGAATGCTCTGGGGCTGAATCCTTCTCCTTACCATTAACTTCCGTTGCTTATTCTTTGAACTATAGCATTTATCATCATCTGACATAGTATATATTATGTATTTGCTTATTTTCTGACTTCCTTCTCTGGAATGTTAATTAGGAAAATGAAGACTTCATCTTGGTCTATGCAGAACAATACTTGCTACAATGCCTGGCACACAGTTGATGTTCAATATATACTTTGAGTGAATGAATGAGTGATTCATAAATCTGACTCAATAGTAGCTATAAATTTACCATGAGTTTTTTTTTTTTTAGCTCTGCACATTATAGTGAATGATTGCAAAGTCATTCTTAAGCATTGTTCTTTTCTTATCCTAGTACACTAGCACCTGGCTTCACGTGGTTTAAGCCCGTGTGAAGAGCTGAGGTCTGAAGAGAATACATCCCTGGACAAAGTCAAAAAGTTAGTGATCAACAAGTCTAATCTGGAACTCAAGTTGCTGAAATGTCACCATAAGTGGCTGTAAGATGGAAACCAAATATGTTTACTTAGCTTTTGATGATGCCCATGAATTTACTGCATTTGTAATTAATTTTCAGTACTCATACTGGTAAAGTGCAATCAACTTCCAGATCTTTCAGCTCTAGGGTTTCTGCAAATGTAACTTAGCTCACTGCTTTTGCATGGGAAATCCACCTGCTAAACTGCTTCATAACCCCAGTTTCTGAGAACCTTTCTAATTTCCCTTTAGGAAACAGCAAGATACTCAGACTCACTGCTCTTCAGAGTTCTCTTATACAGAAGGGAATTAATGATAGTAGCCTTTTGTGCACATTTAATGATATCAGGTAGGAAACATACTTAGCATGAAACCTGGCACATAAAAAAGTTCTGGCAAATGTTAGCTATTGTTATCAAGTACTGTCAATATTGATCCCTTGAAAGTCATGATAGGTAATATTTTCTCCATTTTGAAGTAAAAAATTATGTATGACTCAGAGTAGTGAAATGGGTTGCTTAATATTATTTAGAAGTACCTGTTACTTGAACCCTTCTCTTTTTTTTTTTTTTAAGGCATGTTTTATTTATTTATTTATTTATTTATTTATTTTTTTTTTTGTTTATACATGCACTGGGTACAGTCAGAAGCACGGGAGGGTGAGAGAATTCACCAGAGCCAGAGCGGGGAGCAGAGCAGGCAGAAGGACCGAAGTACACTGCTGAGGGGAGCAGCGGGCGGCAGGAGAGTTCTGCGCGCCATGTGGGACCCTCCTCCGGTGGCCGGGGAGCAGCCGGGGATCGACCTGGCCCCACAGAGGCTGCGGGCAGCTTCGCAACCCTGCGCTCAACTGCTGCGCCACCGGGGAGGCCGAACCCTTCTCTTTAGAACCTTAAACTTGTTATCTTTTCATTTCGGCAGAAGTATAGAAGACTATTGGCCCCAAATTCGTCTTTACTGGCTTACAGAGAAATATAACAACCCCAACTCACGACTATACTGATATTGATATCAGACAGTGCTTTTTTTTGACCACATGAAAGAAAAACTTAAATTTAAACAGTCTATAAGCAACCTACCCTTAACTCTCATGCTCTCAATATCTAAATGTCACTTCCCCATAAAAGGAACAAGCGTCTTTTAGGAAAGTGTCTGAGTCTAAAGTCTTTTTCCAATGTATGAGTCTGGGATATAATTGTTATCATAAAGTAAGGATGCTATCAAGGATTACTAGATTTTGATATCAAAAGAACTCATAAATCTTTTTTAAAATTAATTTATTTTTTTATACAAGCCCTGGGTCCAGGCAGAACCGCAGGATGGTGAGAGAATTCACCAGAGCCAGAGCCGGGAACAGAACAGGCAGACTGATGAAATACACTGCTGAGGGGAGAAGCGGGCACAGCAGGAGAGGTCTGCGCGCCATGTGGGACCCTGGCCTGGTGGCTGGGGATCGAACCGGCACTGCAGATGCTGCGGGCAGCTTCGCAGCCCATCGTTCAACCGCTGCGCCACCACAGGAGGCCCCAGAACTCATAAATCTTGATGATACCATAAATCTTGATATCAAAAGAACTCAACAGTTTTAACCTTGATAAAGGTTGAAAAATTTGAGAATCATTAAATAACTGCAACAGACTGAGGTGCTTCAAACATATTTAAATCTATGATGTCAAATTATACTAAAGCAAATTGTTGGCCACCTTTGAAGAATGTTAAGAAACCAACTCCATACTTTGAAAACTAGTACATAAAAGGAAAGAATGGTGCCTCCGTGGTGGCACAGGCTTTTGAGTGCAGCACTGTGAAGCTGTCCGCAGCCTCTGCAACACGGGTTCCATCCCAGCTGGCCTGCTAGAAGCCCACATGGCATGCAGACCTCTCCAGTGGTGCCTGCTGCTCCCCTCAGCAGTGTATTTCGTCAGTCTGCCTGTTCAGTTCCCCGATCTGGCTCTGGTAAAGCCTCTCACCCTCCAGCGCATCTGGCCTGTACCCCAGTTCCTGTATGAATAAATAAATCTTAAAAAAAAGGAAAGAATGAATCACTTACGGTATATTTTGCAAATGAACTATGCCTTGGGGATAACTAAATAGTGAAAGAAGGGAAGTTTTTGGTCAAAGCAATGAATGAAGAAGCTTTAATAGAATAACCATTTTGTAATTCTAATGAATTAACGGATTTAGACCCTCAGTGACTACTAAAAACACAAGAAGAGATAAAAATTAAACATTACATTTTACTCAATTCAATTATGCAACACCAAAGTCCAATCAGGTCTCCACTAATTCACAGCATACAAAGGAAACTTTTTTTTTTAATTTATTTATTGATTTATACAAGCACTGGGTACAGTCAGAAGTGCGGGAGGGTGAGAGAATTCACCAGAGACATAGCGGGTAGCAGAACAGGCAGTAAGACAGAGGTACACTGCTGGGGGGAGCAGCGGGCTCAGCAGGAGAGGTCTGCGCGCCATGTGGACCCTTGCCGGGTGCTGGGAATCGAACCGGCGCTGCAGAGTCTGTGGGGAGCTTTGCAGCCCAGCGCTCAACCGCTACACCACCGGGGAGGCCCACAAAGGAAACTCTTAAGGTACAAAGGAAAGTGTGGAACAGCATGCCAGGGAGGTAATGACCACAATTAATATCCTAGAAAAGTCTACAGGACAAATGGCATGTTTTATAAACAGATAAATTACAATAACAAAGCCAGGAGAACACATGTCTATCAATGTGGGTTCAGACTGATGCTGCCCTGTGAGGATTTATGTGACGTTGCAGGCTCTTTTCCTCTTTCTCTTAAAAGATTTTTTTCTGAAAAAGCTTTCTTAATAAGTCACTTGCACACGAAAATTCATCTTAGGGACTGCTGTTGAAGAACTTGACCTAAGACCCATTTATTCCTCTAAATATGTAGAATCAAGCATAATTACAGGAGTTTGACTTGCATGGAAGCAATACTATGGAAAATCAAAACATAAATTGCAAAACACATTTGGAAGCATGACAATGTGCTAATTCTTTTTTTAAAAATTTATTTATATATGCATATAAGAGCTGATGTACAGGCCAGAGTTGCAGGGGTGGGCTGAGAGGATTCACCAGAGACAGAGCGGGAAACAGAACAGGCACACTGAAGAAATACACTGCCGAGGGGAACAGCAGACGAAACAGGAGAGGTCTGCTTGGTCATGTGGGTTGTTCCCTGGACGGGCAGGGATCGAACTGGAGCTGCAGAGGCTGAGGACTGCTTCATAGTGTGGTCCTTAACTCCTTGTGTCACCAGGGAGGCCCAACGTGCTAATTATTGTGCCTATTTCAGGAAACCAATTCAAAACGACACAAACCTAACATGGAAAAGGACATGAAAGTAAAATCACAGCAAAGAAAACACAAAGGCTTAATATTTCAAAGGAAATTATGATTAAAATGACAATGAGAACTATTTTTACAGCTAATCAAAGATTTAACAAAATATATTATAGAATTCACTTGAGTATTGGGGAAATACACACTCAGTAGTGCAGAAAGTGTTAACTGATACAAAATCTTTAAGACTTAGCATTAAAAGACCTCCCTTGGTGGAGCGCTGCGCTGTGAAGCTGTTCGCAGCCTCTGCAGCTACATTTCGATCCTGGCCGACCGGCGAGGGTCCCACATGGTGCGGCAGACCTCTCCTGTCTCACCTGCTGCTACCCTCAGCAGTGCATTTCAGTCAGTCTGCCTCTTCTGTTCCCTGCTCTGTCTATGGGGAATCCTCTCACCCTCCCACGAATCTGGCCTGTACCCTGGTTCTTGTATAAATAAAATAAAATCTTAAAAAAAATTTTTTTTAAATGGTTGAATGAATAAATGAAGCAAATGGCACCTACCATGTGGTAGGTGACTCTAAAACATCTCCTCAATGTCCTTCTGTGATGTCTGAGGCATCTCTAGGGGGACTCCGCGGGAACCTACTAGACTATTACGTCACAAAAATCTAAATAGAAGCAAACACGGCTTAGAATTCAAGCAAGGGAGAGAAAGACATTTTTACTTAGGTTCTGGACCAGATCAGTCAGTATCATAAAATCGACTTTCATCACTTGCAAGCAACTAGATCGAAGGAGATCGGTGCTTGGTGCCTCGGGGTGCCCTAACCTGGCTTGTAGAGATCCTTGTCACGAGGTGATTCTTAAGAGAGCGTGCCGAGAAGCAGCCCAGTCAAAACTGGAGTAGTGCACGGGCCATTGAATAATTTAAGGAGAAAAGCGAACAACAGGCTACAGAGGAAACTGAAGGCACCAGCACCTGCGGAGTGGGCAGCATTTGGTAAAAAGCCGCTTTCAGCGCGAGAGGGTTTCTTACAGCAGGTGCGGGCGGGTACCTTGAGAGCACCGAGGCCGGCTTCCCCTCAAGCATAGGCTTGGAGCAAGTTTGGGGGTGCAAGGCTTATTCCTGAAGTACAGGGAGGCACCTGAGGGCCAACCAATTTAGGCACATGTATGACCAAAAATAATGGAAACTCCACAATTTTGTCACTAGCAGGATATGGAAGGGGCAGGCTGGAGGGTGGAACCGTCTTGGTCCCTTCTGGTTGTTTCCGGAGTCATGGTTCAGTTGCTTCCAGAGTCACCGACTAGCAACTCCATCCAACTCTAGAAGCGACTTGAGGGTTCCTGGCCTAATTTTAGCCGTCTATTAGTTTGGGACCTTGATTCTAGTGTCTCTCATATTCTCTCTCTCTCTCTCTCTCTCTCAATCTCTCTCTCTCCCTCCCCCAAGCACTTTCTAGAATTCTAAAATTTTATTCTAAATCCCTAAAGATAGTCAGAAACATCTGAACAGTCATCCACAGATCCCTAGAGCCAGAGAACCTACCTAACGTTACTGCAATTGGAGTACAGTCCTCATTTACATCGCAGAACTAGGAGCCTCCAGGCCTTTGCCAGTGGAGTAGATATGGCTGAAGTCTGAATCCAAGAGACTAGGCTAAATTCCTTGACCTTAGGTAAAGAGAACTTGAGTAGTGTCTATCAAATGGAGCCAACACTTATACTTACTTCATGGGGTCATTGGGATTAATGTGCGGAGGCTGAGATAGAGGAGAGGAAGGGAGAGGAAAGAGAAGAAGAGAGAAAAGTGAAAATATTAGTGACTAGTCTACTCTCTCTCAGACTTGGGACTCAAGCTACGGTAGATTCAGGCCACTGGCCTTGTCCTCCTTTTCCCGCTTTGCCTTAATATCACCAAGTGGGTAGGCTCAGTGCTCACAGTTCTACACTTCACCCAGTCTTCGTTTATTTTCCTGAGGAAGTTATGTGTAGCAAAGTTGCACTTAACTAATTACTGTTGGCAAAGTTAGAAGGTAATATGCATTAAGCAGAAGGTAAAATATTCCCATAAATGAAATTTACCTTTCATTTCAGGAGTGTTAGTCTTTTAGTTCACATAATTTCTTATTTATTTTTTAAAGATCTATTTCATTTAATTTTGCATACAAGAGCTGGGGTGTAGGTCAGAGGTGCAGGGGGTGAGAGGATTCACCAAAGACAAAGTGGGGAGCAGAACAGGCAGATTGACTTGAAATACAGTGCTGAGACAAGCAGCAGGGGGAGCAGGAGAGGTGTGCTGCACCATGTGTGTCAGCTCCCAGGACAGGGATTGACTCATGTTGCAGTGGCTGCCAATAGCTGCCGATAGCTTGATAGTGCTGAGAATTAACCCCTTGTGCCTTCAGGGAGGCCCCAATTTCTTATTCTTAGTGCTTAGTCTACATGATGTGGAAATCTAGTTAATTTAAAATATAGTATTTATATTCTCCTGATCACAATGGGGAGACCTAAGTTAAAACAGGAAACGTCACTTGTCAATGCTGTAACCTTTACTCATTTGGAGTAAATGCAAAAAGAAACAATAGCCCAGTGAAAAAAAACTAAACAATGAGGTCATCATTCCATCAAAGTTATCTAAACACTGAAGAGGCAATTGGTGGTAGAGAGAGAGAACTGCCCTTGAGTCTGATTAAATGCATACCTTTGAATATATTTAGACTGAGATTTAATTCCATTTTTTCCCAATGAAGTTGATTCCAACAGCAGAGTACAACAGTAATCGTAAAAGCAGAAAGTTGTTTGTCACTTATGTACCATATTAGATGATTAAAACCCACTCTCCCTTTTCAGAAAATGTGATGTTTGTTTCATGTGTTCATCTCCATGATAGTAACTCACCAAACAGATGTCATTTAAAGAGCAAGAACCTCAGAATTAGTTGGGTTTTCTATTTTGTGATGGCAGGCAAATTATTTAAAAATTCTTATGATTATTTCCTCATTTGGAAAATGAGGATGATTCTTAACCCTGCTGTTACTATGGCCTTTACATACTGTAATTATCTACTAAAAGCCCTTAGGTGACTGTATAATCAGTTGTTGATTGATTTTTAGATATTTTGTTGACATTGCCTTTTTGTGAAGGAATAAAATAAGCCTCCTCTTCCCTAAGTTGTCTAGAACAAACTTTTCCCAATATGTATCACCTTGGCGTGTGGAGCTTAAGGTCAATCAAGCTCCTGTAGGCTTTAAGAAAAACTGCTAGTCTCTTGATTTCTTAGAGGAATGAAGATTGGGGGTATAACTCAGATTTAAGGTTATCTCTGGAAATGAACTTGCTGTCAGAGAAACCCATCTGTAGTTACAGAATATCTGGTTTTTATGAGCCACACTCCCCTCCTCATATAAGTTCCGCTCCTCTATCCTTGAAGTCTCGGCCCCTATCCCCTTCATTAACTCAAGAATAAATACCTTCAGTCTATTCTATTTAGAATATACAGCCTGGTAAATTCTCCATATGCATGTAGTTAAATTTGTCCTTTTCTCCTACTAATCTGTCTGATGTTCATTTGTTTGCTCAACACAGGATGAACCTACAGGAATAAAGGGAAAATTTCTCCTCTGTTCCTACACCTACCAACATTGTCTCTTAATGAAACTAGTGAAAAACGTGCTGTTCTCATGTTAATATTCACGTCGTAACACACATCACATATATGGCGAAGCACTTAGGGCCATCAATACATACTACTTATAACTTAGATTTTTAAAAGTGTGGTTACTATCTGTTAAGAATGAAAGGCAAAATAAGGCATATGCAATTCCATAAAAACAATATTTTTGGTCAAAGCCATAAAAATTCATTAAGCAGCTAAATACTAATTAGATGCAACCTTGGGAGACTCACTTCTCTGTAATTAAGTTGACAAGGGAGCACGTGCCTTGAAATTCTTTTAACTCTTTCAAGTTATTTGTTATCTGTTATTTGTACTGGTTTTGCTTTTTGCTTTTGTTTTTGTTCGTAGCCAAAGAGTAGGTTTTGTAAAGGTCATGTCCCCATGGCTCAACCTCATATTTGATCCATTCCCCAACCTCATCGTGGGTCCAAACCCTTCTGAAATTCTGAAGTAGAACAGTCCCCAATCCTAATGAATATTCTTGAATATTTTCATAGCTGATTTCCCTGTCTACTCAGAGTGCCTTCCTTTCCTGTGCCTTCTCCCAATTTGTGAGTCTCAGGGACACTCCCATTCTGTCATAATATATCCAGGTTCTTAGAGGCCTGTTGCTCTAGCACAGTGTCTCTCTTGTCTCAGGTGAGTAGCTCATGCACTCCTGATTCCTTTATGTAAGGAGCCAAACACAACTGCCGACTCTTGTCATCCACAAGGGTCAATCTGCTGAGGCTTTTATGGAGTGGAGTACTGTAGAGGGGCAGACATACCTACAAATGTTAATGCATCTCCATAAAGTCACTAGAAGGTTGAAGTAAGTTAATTTTTCTTTGTGGACAGCATCAGTCACATTTTTTGTGTATGCAATTTTCAAAATGTCTTGTTTATTTCAATAACACCAGCAATAATGATTGTTCTTGCCTTGTAGATGTAATAACCATACAGGTAGTGAAAGTAAGTTGGTTTCATTTTGATATTGAGAAATAATCTTGTGAATGATTGCTTCTCTGACTTTTGGTAAATGCTCTTCTTCTTTTGTAAGATAGGAACAAAACCTGTCTGTTTGTCCAAACAGAAATATAACAATTAAATTTTTTAACACTATAACTTGCTTTGCCATTATTTGTTTCAAATATTACTTACTTCTATCCCATTTACATATTCCATAGGTCTCATTTAAAAGACTGAAAACTGTCCAGACCACTCACATTTGACAATTCAGAGAAATATTTCAACTGGGCTGAGGGAAGAGAGCTTGAAGGCTAAACCTGAACAAATTATTTTCTTCTGCATTCCTCCACCACAGTGTACAAAAGGTAGCCAAATTAATGCAACACACACTAAGCCTTGAGTCAGTCTGATCTGCTCATAGAGTGATGACCCATGAAGACTTTCTCATACAGGTTCCCTCCTAGATCATCCTGGGTGGTGAGGAATGCCATCACGAAGGTATGACTCCATCGTCAGGTCTGACACCACTGTAATCTGAATTTGCTGAGTGCAGGGGACCAGCCTTCGGCAAAATGTCGTGTAAGGGGTTTTTGAAAGGATTCGACGGCGTCGGCGAAAACGAAAGGGCTGAGGGGAAGGGGGTGAGGTAGAATGAGGAGACACTGACACTTGGTGAGGTGTTAGTATTTTTTGTCGAGAGACTTAGTAGGTCTTTATTTATTTTTAGTAAGTAGAAAAAAAAAATACATTTTCATGTGTAAAGCAGAAACAATTAGTGTGTTTTATTTTTATGGACTACTGGCTTATACAGGTCCCAGCAAGACGGTAGCCTTTAAGGTTAATAGATAAAAAACTAGACTTAACACTAAAACTTATTATTTTAGTTAGACAATTATTTAAAACAGTGGATAGCCGTCAGTGTATTCCCATTAGCTAAAGTCTCAGCATTAAAAGACTATTTTATTTACATGGCCTTTAGCCGGAGACCAGCTGTTGCTTCGTTATTAGAATTTTTTTTTTACCTAGAAATTTTTTAACTTAGTTTTATTTAAAAACTTTTTAAAGAATCTTTAAGAGAAAACAAAAAAGAAGGACATATTATAACTGTTGTATTGCAATGTTTGTCAGGCATGCTCAATAAGTTGTATTTATTGTCAAGTGGGCCAAATTGTTTAATAATTAGTTTTTAATAGATAATTTTTTGTGCTGTTTATTTGCAGTATACTGATGTATATAATGTAGTGTTTAATGTACTTTTTGGGAAATTTTTTTTTTTTATGATCAAGAACAAAAAATGAAGGAATATTAGATTTTTAGCCCCACGGTGTGAGGCACAAGGAATTTTCAGCCCCATGGTGTGAGGCTCTTTAGCTTTGGCCCCACGGTGTGAGGCCCTTTGAGCTTTGCTGCTTGCCAGTGTCTTATTTGGCTGGGGCATTAAGGCCTTCTGTAGCATTTTGTTGTTGTTGTTGTTTTTGGCCATTATTTGTATAATTTGTAATTTAACACGTGTCTGATTGATAGCACAGAAAAGTAATTTGGTAAACAATGGGAAGAGTATTAAAATAATTATGGTGACAAGCAAAACGACACCTAAGGTAATAAATGATGGGAACCAGGCGGCCTTAGTGGTATAATGTTGTAAGGAAGCCAGGAAGGAAGCAGCAACTTTTGCAGGGATGGAGGAGGGGACATGAGCTAAACTAATTGTCTTAATATTTTTTTGTAGAGTAGTAAGGTTTAGGGAAACATTTGTGTTATTTTAAATACCCAGTAAATGATTTTTGACATTATTTTAAGAAACAGAAGAAGAGTTATAAACATGTGGAGTGACACAAATTTATTTGTAATTAGAATGACATTTGGTAGTTAAATGTATTTTGATGTGTTGAATTTGATTACCAATATGTAAAAGTGATTTTTTTAAGAACATTTAAGTGAGTCTTAAATTTGTTATTAGTATGGTCTTGGATAATTAAAGTGTGTGTGATGTTATGAGATAAATTATTAACATGGGAGGCAGTGTGAATTTGTTGCACGAGAGCAACAGAACAAATAATAGCAATAAGGGTCGTAATACTCAGTATAAGCCCCGCTACAAGTCTTTTGGAGCCACACAGACCCTGTTAAACAAGCTGAAGAGCATACAGTCCAATGTCATTATACCAAGGCTGTTGTAAGTTTACAGGGAGCATGACATAAGGAGGTTGATGGAAGGTAACAAAAGTTGCTTTAAGACAATGAGCTAACAGAGGTAATACAGTTGGCGAGGACGCAGCCAGTACAATTAACATGAAAAGTATGGTGATGATAAGTAATGGTTAAATGTCCGGGGCCCTCAACGAGGAGGGCATGAGGGGGGCCCACACAAGCACATATGGTGAAAGTACGAACAGAATGTCCAGGTCCGGGAAAAAGCACAGGTGAAGTGGTGGTAAGGAGGCGAAACAAGTCCGGGTATGCACGGGAACCATTTGAAGTGTTGACGATGTAGGCGGGAGTAATTTATCCAGCTGAATACCACCGAGTGACAGGTTTTAGAGGTGGGATGAGGCGATTTGACCGGTTGCAGATAAGAGCGTTCTGCAGGAGAAACCTATAATCCTTGGGGACATTAGTGGCGGATGTAACTGCTCCAAGATCTGAAAAATCATAAATAGAAAGATTAATCTGGTAAGGCTGGTAGCGAAGTTCTGTAGAGAGAAACGTACAAGTATGCCAAGTGGGAAATTTATGATTTTTGTCAATAGTATTTTAGGAGTTATTTGAGTTGTAAATTGAACAGGCTGGTGCAGGGAAGATGATGATCTTTCAGCAGGGGATTTGGAGCAATGGCATCTTGGAGGAGGTGGATAGGGTCCCAGAGGGCTGTACCTACGCATCTTGGGGCGATGTGTCGGTGAAGGCTTTTGAAACATGGTGTTGGATTAGTCTGTCAGGAATTTAAATTGGGCCTTCTGGATTTTGTGGAAAGATACAAGTATAGTTTCTCTTATGTGTTAATAATATATTAGGGCCTTTTTATGTTTCAGAAAGGAGATTTTTTTACATAACTTGAGGTTTAGGGTTCAGTTGGTCAGGATTTTAATGTTTATTAACTGGTGACTTTTTTGAGAATTACAATTTAAATAATTGATGACAAACATAGCATGAGTTAAAATATGATGAGTCGAACTATGTTTAAAATTAGATTGTTGTAGTTTATTTATTTGAGACTTTAAAGTTTGGTGGGCTCTTTTAACAATAGCTTGCCCTTGTGGATTATAAGGAATTTTTGTAGAATGACCAATTTGAAACGAGGCATAAAATTTTTTAAAGGCAGAGGATGCATATGCAGGAGCATTGTCAGTTTTAATAGCATGAGGTTTGTCAGCATAGGCAAAACAAAACATGAAGTGTTGAGAGACATCTTTAAAAGCCTCTTTAGTTCGGACAGTAGCCATAATAACATGACAAAATGTGTTTATGGAGACATGGACAAAACTGAGTCTTCCAAAACTAGTAACATGAGTGACATTCATTTGCCAGAGATTATTTGGTCTGAGGCCTCGTGGGTTCACCCCCATCGGAAGTGAAGGGTGAGCAGTGGGGCAAACTGAGCATTTGTGAACAATTTTTTGGGCTGTTTTTTGAGTCAGATGGACTTGTTTCCACAGTGAAGCGACATTTTGGTGATGAAGGGCATGATTATTAATTGCCTTCTGTACTGTGAATGCTGCTGTTTGAGTTAACAAATCAGCCAGCTCATTCCCACAAGCTAGATGACCTGGTAATTTAGAATGACCACGAATATGGCCAACATACACTCTGTCCTGGATTTTATTAAAGTTTGTAGTTCCAATAGCTGTGGAGCAATGTTAGTTTTAGTATTAGTAATTACAGTAGTCTCAATATTAGGAAATAATTTGGTTACATATTGGGAATTAGTTAAAAAGGTTAAATGGCTGATTTTGTCAAATTTTAAATACTGTGAGAACTGTGAATAATTTAGTTTTTTGGGCTGAGGTTTTAGTTGTCTGGATATACTTTGGTTTGTCATTGATAACGAAAGTAGCTCTACCATTGGAAGAGCCATCCGTAAACACAAGTGCAGCAGGTTCTGGCAAAGGCACAGCACTAACAATGGTTGGAAAAATAAAAGCCTGCTTCTTAAAGAAATGAAGCACAGGGTCGGGAGGCAAATGAAACTTTATTTTACCTGAAAAAGATTGCAGGGCTATTTGTCAGTCATTACTTAAACTAAGCAAGTCATTAAGTTGTTTTTTTTGTAAGGTAAAACAAGAACAGGAAATTCTTGGCCAAGAAGTTCAATGCTCCTATGCCTTTTTTTTTTAGACTTCTAAATGAGCGACTTTATTATAAAGCAGCTTAAAATGAAGGTCTTCCAGAAGTCATCAGCAGAAATTTCCATTTAATGAGAAAATACCTGCCCTCTAAATGCCTGGAATCATGTTGGTGTTTTGTATTGGGGTTTGCAGTGATTTTTTTTAATTCATCAGCACAAAACAAATTTTTTGAGGAAAAGGGAAAGAACAACTCCTGCATAGACACAGGCAGGCAGAGAGCTGGCAGGGTTGACAATTAACAAACACTTGACACTTGAAAAAAAATTGCATGCATAGTTTGGTGTGAATACTCAGGACTGGGGTTATTGGGTCATGTCACATGGTATTTTATGAGCTTTATAAGCAACTGCCAAACTTCTTCCCAAAGTGCTTGCACTGTTTTGCGATCCCACAGCTATGTTTGAGAGGTCCAGTTGCTACATATACTTATCAACATCAGGCATTGTCAGTCTTTTTGTTTTGATTATAGTCCTTCTTCTGAGTGTGTGGCAATGTCTCATTGTGGTTTCATTTGCATTTCCTTTATGACAATGTTGAGCATTTTTTCACAGGTTTATTAGACACTTTTTTTTTAAATAATAAATTTTATTTTTATATTCCCCATACAATTGCAACCCCCCCATTTTGACCTATAATCCGGTCAAAAAATGGGCAGAAGAGCTAAAAAGAAACTTCTCTGAAGAGGAAATGCAAATGGCCAGCAGGCATATGAAAAAATGTTCCACATCACTTGTAATCAGGAAAATGCAAATCAAAACTACCATGAGATACCATCTTACACCAGTGAGAATGGCGCATATTAAGAAAACTAGCAACAACAAATGTTGGCGAGGGTGTGGAGAAAAAGGAACTCTCCTGCACTGCTGGTGGGAATGCAAACTGGTCCAACCACTATGGAGAGCTGTGTGGAGATTTCTTGACCTACTAAACATAGAGCTTCCATATGATCCAGCCATTCCACTCCTAGGTATTTACCCAAAGGACACAGAAACATCAATTCCAAAGAACACCTGCACCCCTATGTTTATAGCAGCACTGTTTACAATAGCTAAGCTTTGGAAACAGCCCAAATGCCCAAAATAGATGACTGGATCAAGAAGATGTGGTACATATATAGCATGTAATATTACTCAGCATTCAAAAAAGATAAACACATGCAATTTGCAGCAACATGGATGGCGCTGGAAGGGATCATGCTCAGCGAAATAAGCCAGAAAGAAAGAGAAAAATACCGGATGGTCTCACTCATAGCAGGAATCTAGAAAACTTAAATAATGGACCAGGAAAATGAATAACTATAAGAAAGTGAAAATCAAAATCAACAAACAACTATGAACCAGAGACACTTTTTGGGGGGTGAGGGGCGGGAGGGGAGGGATTGGGGTCCTATGCCTTTTTTTAACAATTAATGTAGTTACTTGGGAAGCATAGGGACAAACAACCTTTTTTGCAGTAACTGGTAAATGTAACCATTTCAGTGGCCCCTTTTGCCACAAAACACCTGTTGGTGTGTGCGGGGTGGCCAAAATTATGAACTCCCAATGCTTAGTATAATTTAGTTGCAACAGTTGTTGATTGTTGAGTGCATCATTGACCTTTTGTAAGGCTAGTGTTGCCTTAGGTGTTAATTGCCTAGGGGAGTTAGGATTAGAATCATTTTTTAACACATCAAACAGTGGACATAAATTAGCTGTGGTTAGTTGCAGATGAGTTTTTATTCAATTTATGTCTTTAAGTAGTTTTTGAAAATTATTTAATGTTTGTAAAGAGTCTGTTTGTAGCTGTAGTTTTTGTGGTGACACAGTTAAAGAACGAACAATCCTTTCCAAATAATTAATTGGCGGAGAAGTTTGAATTTTTTTTGGTGCCACCACAAGTTCATAACTTTGCAGCAAAGTTACCAGATGGGCCAAGGCCTGATTCAACAAGTCCACTTGAGCGTTACTTATTAAAATATTATTTATATAATGAACACAGTAAATGGAAGGGTACTTATTTTTAAAGGATGACAAAACCAAATTTATAAATTTTTGACATTAAGTTGGACTGTTTTTTATGCCCTGAGGGAGAATTTTTTATTTATACCATTGAAACGGCCTTTTTAAATTTACTGATGGGACACTAAATGCAAATTTTTTGCAGTCTTGGGGATGTAAAGGGATGGTAAAAAAGCAATTTTGTAAATTAATAATAATAACATGTTTATTTTTAGGGATGGCCACAGGTGATGGCAAACCTGATTGTAAGTATTTATTTTGTATAGTAACATTTATTGTTTTTAAATTTTGTAACAGTTTTTATTTTTTTAACAATAAAAATTGAGGTATTTTATGGTCCTGAAATTAATTGATTTGTATTAATTGATTTTGTATTAGGTTTGTTACAGTCTGTATTTTTTTTTTTTTGTAAGAGGCCACTGCTCAACCCACAGTGGTTTATTATTTTTTTAGGTGATTGGGTCGGCTGCAACTCGAGCAATGGCCCTTAGGTTAAATTTTGACCGTACCCCAAACCGGCCTTAGAGCTTTTGGGAACTGGCTTAATTGGAGCTGTTTTTCCATAAAGATTTTTTTTTAACCCTTGGTTAGGGTGAAAGCCCATTTGTAACATTTGTGATGTAACTATATTATTAGGGCTGAAAATTAATGTTTTTATTTGTGATAACACAACTCTTTTCCATAATGTCATAGAAAGGGAAGGAATAACATAAGGTTGAGAAGTTTCAGACACCTGCTTATTATTTTAATTTAAAATTTGAGAACTTTTTGTCACATTTTGTGTTGATTCCAGTCTGACCAAAGTAGAGGGCGTGGCTTTTGTGGGCCAGGTGTTAGGTTAAGTAACATTAGTACCAGTGTTTAACAATTTTTAATTGTTTTTTTTATAGACATTACTAAAACTTTTAACAAATTATGATAGTGGTATTTTTTTAGTAATTCAGAACACAAGGAGGGGCTTTGTGTGTTCGCCACCCCAAAATATTACTTTAAACATTGTAGTTTTTAAAATTGACTTAAAAACAGTATAGTTTAGTTTTACTTGGTAAAGTTAATATGACAAAAAAATTTACATATGTAGGTAAATATATATACACATACACACTTTTTTAGTCAAGAAAAGAAAAACACTTTAAAGATACATTTAAATAGTAAATTATTAATATTTAACATAATTTTAATGTATATATGTTTTGAATTATATTATAAAATTTGAACTAGTTTTTGTATATTAAAAATTTTGGGTTATGATTTTAAAATTTGTTTTTATGAGAACTTATATAGGCGCATTTATGATTAGTCCTCTGGAGGTAAAAAACAAAATAAAACAAAAGCACAAAAACAGACATAAACAGACACAGAGATTTTTTGATATACATTTAAAATTTTGGCCATGTATGTATATTTTAAGAGATAGTTATTTTACCAATTGTGTGAATATATTGAGGTTTAGAATTTTGTTCAAAAATGTCTGTATTATTACTTTATATTTTACCAGGTTAGTTTTAACAAGAAACTTAACCTTTACAGGTTTAATAAGTAAATTTAAAAGCTTTTATTTAACCAATAAGTATTTTGTATAGCTTGTTAGCAAGTCAAAAGTAACTCAACAGTTTTTGTCTAAGACAATTTAGACTTTAAAATTAGAGAAACACAGGGAAATAGAACTTTTTTTTTGTAGAATGAACCAAAATAGTTTTTTAAGGCGGACAATAGAAAAGCTTAGTCCCCCACAGCAGGAAGGCAGTAGAGACCTGCCAGTGATTCCAACACTGGAGAAAAAGTTCAGGCAGCTGCTTGTTGAGATCAAGGGCAGCCCCCACCTGTCCACTGTAGCGGGTTTATACTATTTTAATAAAAATCTTATAGTTATATTATAGTTATATAGTTTTATATAGTTATATTTAACCATTTTTTATTACTTTACCAATTGTGAATAAATTTTGAATACTGTTATTTAGAAATGTCTTATTTATTTATTTATTTATTTTAAAAGAAACAAATGGCAAAACTCTAACAGGGGGAACCTAGCCTTTTTCCCAAATAATTAACAGGAAAAGATTGGAGTAGTTTTTTTTTTTTTATTTAAGATTATGACATGTTATTTTTTACTTGTTTTTGAGTTTTTATTTTTATTTTAACAATTTTAGTTAAGTCTGGGTTGGAAATTTGGGCTGGATTTTGGAATGGTCTCATAATTGGGAGCCGATGCCTCTGCAAAGAGGTTAGTATTGGCTTTAGAATTAATTTTTGGCTTTTGAAAAATAATTTTACTATTTCAAGAATTTAATTACTTTTTTTAATACTGCAGGCTATTTTTTTTTACCTTTTGTTTTGTATTTTTTATTTTGCCTTCAGCCAGGCAAAAACGATTTATTTGTTTAGGCAACTGTTTTGTTAATACGGGGCTGTTAGCTGAGTCCTCTTTGATGTCCTTTAGGGATGCAGACAGCCGTAATTTTTTTTTTATTTTTTGGAAATCAAGGACAACACATTTTAACAAAATTTAGGAAAGTAGCCAATTTCACATGAGAGGTCTTAAGGCCTCTTTTAACAAGTATATTTATATTAATAAAGAGTCCTTTTTTTCTAGACTTAATATGGCCCAATAGCTTTTCAACGATAAGACACTTACTCGCCTTATTACGGTTTTGACTTACTGCTCCCCCCAAACCTGTTTTTTTTACAGGCGGGTGTGTGCCCTACCCTATGGAGCAGATCCTAGCGGTCCCTGCACAGGAAAGAAATCTTACCTTTTAAGTCCCTGTTCGGGCGCCACTTACCGGGGACCAGCCTCCTGCAAAATGTCATGTCAGGGGTTCCTGAAAGGATGAGACGGCGTCGGCGAAAACGAAAGGGCTGAGGGGAAGGGGATGAGGTAGAATGAGGAGACACTGACACTTGGTGAGGTGCTAGTATTTTCTGCTGAGAGACTCAGCAGGTCTTTATTTATTCATTTTTAGTAAGCAGGAAAAAAAATACATTGTCATGTGTAAAGCAGAAACAATTAGTGTATTTTATTCCCATGGACTACTGGCTCCTACAGGTTCCAGCTAGATGGTAGCCTTCAAGGTTAATAGATAAAAAACCAGACCTAACACTAAAACTTATTATTTTAGCTAGACAATTATTTAAAACAGTGGATAGCCGCCAGTGCATCCCTATCAGCTACAGCCTCAGCATCAAAAGACTATTTTATTTACATGGCCTTCAGCCGGAGACTAGCTGCTGCTCAGCTATCAGAACTTTTTCTACATAGAAACTCCTTAACTCAAATAGCTTTGTTTAAAAAGTTTCCTAAGAAACTTCAAGAGAAAACAAAAAAGAAGGACCTACTATAATAGTTGTATTGCAATGCTTGTTAGGCATGCTCAATAAGTTGTCTTCCATTGCAAGTGAGCCAAATTGTTTAATAATTAGTTTTTAACAGATAATTTTCCGTGCTCTTTATTTGCAGTATACTGATGCATATAATGTAGTGCCTAATGTACTTTTTGGGAAATTTTTTTTTTTATGACCAAGAACAAAAAATGAAGGAATATTAGATTTTTAGCCCCACAGTGTGAGGCACAAGGAATCTTCAGCCCCATGGTGTGAGGCTCTTTAGCTTTGGTCCCACGGTGTGAGGCCCTTTAGCTTTGCTGCTTGCCAGTGTCTTATCTGGCTGGGGCATCAAGGCCTCCTGAGCAGCTGAGTATTTCATTTCTACTGGAACAATTTCCTAATGGTTCACTTATTTAGATTACAAAAAGGCTTATTTTATTTCTTGCATAGGGAAGACTTGATGTTAGCAGGCCTATGAATTATTATGTGACCTTCAATTTTGCTTTCTGCTTTTGTGCAGGCTTATCAGCACTTTTCGTATAGAAGAGAATTTCAGAAAGAGGCACTACTATTAATAATAATACAGCAGGAACAATTTATATTAATTTGGTACTTACATGTTCCTGATCTTCAGATAATATATTTCCTTTGCCCTTTTGAATTCTATGAGCAAGGCCAATAAATTGATAGGAGATTAACCGAGTACCAGGAGAAAAACATATGAACTTTAATATTGTTACATGCAAATGGGAGCCTTAATAGGAAGAATGACTTAAAGAAGCAGTTAATAACAGAGATTTTTATTATTATTATTTTTAATTTCTTCATGTTGCCTCTTTTTTTTCTTAAGATTTCTTTATTTATACAAGAACCAGGGTACAGGCCAGATGTGCAGGTGGGTGAGAGGATTCACCAAAGATAGAGCAGGGAACAGAACAAGCAAACTAATTGAAATACACTACTGAGGGGAGCAGTGGGCAAGACAGGAGAGGTCTGCTGCACATGTGGGTTTCTCCCTGGCCAGCTAGAATCGAACTCTCACTGCAGAGGCTGCGGACAGCTTCACAGTGCAGGGCTCAACTACATGTGCCATCAGGGAGGCCCCAAAGATTTTATTTTTAACAAAAAGTTATAAGTTGTGAAGTTTTAAGACAAAAGAAAGAAGTTGAAGTTCTAGGGACAATAAATTATGGGACTGTGACTAGGAAATGCATGAGGAAACTAATGAAAGTTAAGGTTATGTGGGTGAGTTTACATGTGCCAATCTATTCTGGTATCAACTCCCAGTGTCTGGTGGCAAGATATTCTTTTCCTGGTACAGGGGGTACATCTTTTATATGAGGGATCTTATGTCCTGCCTGAGGCAGAAAGGAGTCAGTAAGAGAGTCTTTCTTGCATTTGCCCTTGTCTTTACTACTTTTGTAAGGACTTCTGACAGTCCTTCTGTACTTCCTGTCTTCTGTACTTCCTGTCCCTTCCTATCTTTCAGTCAAATATTTCACTATATTTTTCACTTGTTTTTAAAGAATACTCATTACAACGAATTAAATCAATTTTATAGCCCAGTGATAGTTCATGGCCTGCAATTTAGGGGGAAAATGCTAGAATAGGCCTACCCATATAACTTTCTTGGCTAGTCATGTACACAATTATGGTCCTAACATGTGCCTAAAATGCACAAGATTTTTTAGGTTATTAGACACACCTCCTTTTATTGGGTTTTTAGTGCTTTTGTTGTTTTATTTTTTAACAGATAAAATGCTTGTGGTCATCCTATACTGAGAAATCTATTGGTGCCATTTTCACAAAAGCATATGCTCACTTTGTATCTCTGTGTCACATTTTGATAATTCTCACAATATTTGACACCTTTCTATTATATCTGTTATGGTGATCTGTCACCAGGGATCACTGATATTACTCTTGTAATTGTTTTGGGTTCCATGAATGTTGCCCATATAAACAGAAAATTGTATCAATATATTATGCCCGTGTTCTGACTGCTTCACCTATCTCTACAGTTCCCCATATCTTTCCCTCTCCTCAGGTCTCCCTACTTCTTGAGAAATAACAATATTGAATTTAGGTCAATTAGGAATCTTACAACAGCCTTTCAGTGTTCAGATGAAATGAAGACTCTCATGTCTCTCTCTTTCAATCAAAAGCTAGAAATCATTCAGCTTAGTGAGGAAAGCATATGGAAATCTAGCTGAAGGCAAGGCCTCTTATACCAAACAGTTAGCAAAGTTGTAAATGCAAAAGAAATGTCCTTAAAGGAATTCCTATGAAAACTCAAATGACAAGACAGCAAAACATCCTTCTTGCTGATATGGTGAAAGTTTTGTGATTTGAATAGAGGATCAGAACAGTAGCAACATTCCTTTCAGCCAAAGTCTAGTCCACAACAAAGCTCTAACTCTCTCCTATTCTGTGAAGATAGAAAGAGGGGAAGAAATTGAAGAAGAAAAGTTTGAAGCTAGCAGAGGCTGGTTCATGAAGTTTAAGAGGTCATCTCTCTAAAAGTGCAAGTGCTGATGAAAAAGTTGAAGCAAGTAATACAGAATATCTAGCTGAGTACGTTGATGTAGGTGACTACACTAAACAACAGATTTAAGTGTACACAAAACCGTCTTACACTGGAAGATATCACCTGGCACTTTCTTTCCTAAAGAAGAGGAATCAATGCCTGGATTCAAAGTTTCAAAGGACAAACTCTCCTGTCAGAGGCTAGTGAGCTAGTGACTTTCAGTTGAAATCAATGCTCGTTTACCATTCTGAACATTTTAGGTTCCTTAAGAGCAATGATAAATCTACTCTGTGCTGTGTAAAAGAATAAAAAGGCTAGATGACAGTGAACCTATTTACAACATGGCTTCCTGACTATTTTAAGTCCAGCATTAAGACCTGCGCAGTAAAGAGGAGATTGACTCTTTAACAGTACACCTGATTACCAAGAGCTCTGATAGAGATGTTCGAGGAGATTCATGTTGTTTTCATGCCTGCTGTCACAACGGCAATACTACAGTCCATGGTCCAGGTGTCATTTTGAATTTAGGTCTTATTGTTTTAGAAATGGATATATGTATTCCATTAAACCCAGTGGAAATGACACTGCACGTAAGATTTACATAGCTTCTTATAAAAAGTACTTCATAATAAAATATTTAAAAAAGTACTTCATAGATGTCATTTGACACGTTAGACCAGCATTTCTAGAGATAGATTTATATTAGCAATATATCTTAAGAGCACTAAGTGATATCAAAAGAGTCACTAGTAGAGCTGAAAATAGAAATAATGCACCAGGACATCCCCTGGCGGTACAGGCAGTTGGGTGCCATGCTATGAAGCTGTCAGCAGCCTCTGCAGCGCTGGTTGGATCCCGGCCAGCCGGCGAGGGTCCCACATGGTGCAGCAGACCTCTCCTCTCTGCCTGCAGCTCCCCTCAGCAGTGTATTTTGTCAGCCTGCCTATTCTGTTCCCCACTCTGTCTCTGGTGAATCCTCTCACCCTCCTGCACATCTAGCCTGTACCCCAGTTCTTGTTTAAATAAATAAATAAATAAATAAATCTAAAAAAAAGAAATAATGCACCAATCCTTTTCTGGAGTTGGGGCCCATAATTCCTTCCACCATGAGCCGTAGTCATCAGGTGAATGAATCAGTTCAGATAGAAAGAAAAATTAAAAGTAATTTGAGAGAAAAAAGTCATTATAAAGGGAGATACCAATACATTTTTCTAGTGTTTCTCTGTGGCACAACTATTGTAATTTTGGAATTTCTCACCATTAGCTACAGAGAAAGGTGGTTGTTGGGGGAAGTTTTGAGAGAATAATTTAAGATTAGGACAAGTGATCTTTCAAATGCCCTCTCACTGTAATCTCTAAGATACTTTACTTTCCATATAGCAATGTAAGGTTGAAAGTAACTACCGTGAGGGAGAAAGTATTAATTGGGGCACCGGGGTGCAGCTGATCGACAGAGTGTTGTCTGCCTCTGCTTGGAAGAGAAACTCTCCTGACACACTTGCCTCCCTAGTTGGGGATGAGCTCAGTGGTGATAAGGGGGTCCTCAGTGACCCTGAGAGAGTCTGACCTATTTCAAGTTTGAATGCAAACTGTGAATTGTTCTGAGAAATAAATGCAAATTTTGTGAGAACCTTGATACATTTATAGTAGCTTTGGTGGCAATCGGAGATTGTCACTTCATTGTTGAGGTCTGTTTGGAAAGGTGGCACAGTGGAAACAGACCTTGAGAGTTAAGTCTCTCAACTCTATAGAAACTAAAAAAAGAGAAGAAAAAAAAACTTCGGCAAAGGTATTTATTTACACCAGAGGTGGGAGGTGGGATCCCAGGGGAATGAGGCATTTATTCATTAATGCCATAAGAATCTATTACTGCAAAACGTTTCTTCCTCCAAGAAGCTGCGATGTTCATGTGGACAATGAAATGTTTGGGTTATATTTTTCTTTGAATACTGACTGAAAATTTGTCATACACTGAATCGCCACACTTTTCTTCGAAGTGGAGAAAGAGATGAACATGTTCTGAAGATATTTTATTTCTTGAATGTTCAGCAGTTGTTTGCTCTCACAAAATTCACATTCTTTGTAGTTAGCTTGCAAAGCATGTCTTTTTAGGAAGATCAATGTAAAACCTTCAAATGTTGAATACATTTGAACCAGTCCTCCATACTGAGAAAATTTAGTCTGCATGTTAAGTGCTCGATTTGGAGACCAGGTATCAGCATAGGCTGCAAATATTCGAAACAGATAAGGGGAATAACACCTTTTGTAGTATCTTTTGAAGCTGACCTCAAAGCTTCTTCTTTAATGGCATTTATCTTCAGCATTGACAAATGTGCTTGGTTACATTTGATGCAATTAGGTCCTTACTGCTTTTGGACAAAGAAAATTCATGAGCAGATTGGTGTTTTCTATTTGTCTTAGATAATGGTGGGTATTTGCATATCTGATATGATCCCACAGGTAAAAGTTTTAGTAACTATGACTTTGACAACTCAAGAATTAAAAAGCAAAAGTCATCTGACCAGTCAAGGGAAGAGAAACACATGTTCTAGATCATAAGACCAGTTCTATATTGTTGACCTCAAAGCAACCAGGTATTGAGAATCATGCAATTCAGAAAGTATAGTTTCAAGAGGGACGTGTGTGTTCTTCCCATATGCTATAGATTGAGCTAGCCACATAAAAAAGAACCTCCTTTTTTCCACTGGGGTTAAGAAGCAGCATCACTTCCTGTTGGAGATGCAAAGATTGTTGGCTCTTATTGTTTGCTGATTTTGTGTGCTTAATTTTCTTCTAGCCTTCTGACCTCATTTAAATAACGTTATATTTACTAATTTTCACACTAGCCATATTATGGTTATTATAATTTTTTCAACTTCATTTTGCAAGGCACTGGTAATAAAGGAAGTGTTCATTATTCTTAAACTTCGACATGACTGGTACTACGCCCTTATTGCTTATTTGTGGAAGGCAAATATGCCACTGTAATGACAGAAGACACAGGGTCAGTTCCAGGTATATTATGGTGGGATGTTGTGTTGATAGCAAGTTAGACTTCACTGAGCTCAGTCTGGGGTTTGAAAAGTAACATTGCCGAGACAATCCCTCCCAATGCTATTGTGTTTTTAATAGGCCTCTAGAATGTAGAGACTCTTCAATACTATTCAGTTATTCAGTTGCTCCATTTCAGTCTTATTCTCCTGTATCTGTTTAATTCCTGCCTCCATTCCAAGCCCAACTCCTACAAGGGTTTGTCCAACTTCAACACCCTTCTCTATCTGGAACCACATGGCATTTATCTTGGTAACTTCTTTATTTGGCTCTCCAGGTGCCTTAGGCATACCCTACATGTTATTGCACTCTTTATATCTAGTCCTCATTTTCTGTATTTGAAATTGCATTTGGTAATCTGTAGTCCACGTGAATCATCATCATGGAAGAAGGATTTTTCTCTATCCTGGAAGGAGTGGAATTGCTGGATCATAAACCCTAGAAGTCTGACAGGTAGAACTAAAGCTATTGGAGAAATCGGGGGAGGGTAGAGAGCAGGGTGTGAAAGGGGACCTGTAGGCTATGGTGGAGAACTGTGGGTGCCTTGGTGGTAAGTGTGGTTTGGAGCATATATTTGAGGAGGTGTGATCTATGTCTCTGAATCACACATGGGGAGTAAACCAACACTACCTCAAACACAACTAATTACTTAAATTAGAAACAAACAACTAAACAGTGAGGAGTAAATGTAAAAAAGAAAAGGAACAAAAGAACACCAGACTCAAAATGAAATCTTCAACGCCATTACAATCTCATGGTTTGACAATAACAGATTTCCCCTGTAATAATTATAATATATAAAGGAGCTAAAGATTTTTGTGACTTAAGTTCTAATATTTCACCTCCTTGGGACATAGAAAATGGGAAGGGAAGAATGGATAATTGGCTTCATCCCTCCTCTGCAGGCTCAGGAATGTTTTGAGAAGATGAGACAAACTTTTGCTATCACAGAATTTGTGTCTTACATAAGAGAAAATAATTTTGTTGATATCAAATGCAGGAGAAGTCCTCCATTATCTAAAATGAATGAAACTCTCTGCTCTTAAATTTGAGTACTTGATAACTTTCCAATCTCTGAGACAAAAATGTAATTAACAATATATTCCTTTATTTCCCAATCACAGATAAGGAACTTACAACACATTCCTGAAACATGAATGAAGAATAATACTTAAATATAACATTATAATATCCCTCCTCTGTGCTTCTATTTTACAGCAAATACTAAATAAACCAAAGTGTCTAGGGAGAAAGAAGTGATTTTTTACAGTTATTTTCTTTGCCATGGGAGTGCTAATGTTCAAGCATATCTTCTTCACAAGCTTTCTTGGATTCCATGCAACACTTCTTCTGTTTCCAGTCTGTTTGACGCAAGATTATACAGCCATTCCTATTGTTCCAAATGCTTCTTTCCTCTGGGCTTGGAATGCCCCAACTCACAATTGTGTTAAGTTCAATATAACGATAGATTTGAGCCTCTTCTCCTTATCAGGAAACCCCGGGCTAAACCGCCCAGGACAAGGTGTTACAATATTTTATAAGGACAAACTGGGCTACTATCCTTGTGTACATAAAGGTAAAAATGTGAATGGAGGAATCCCTCAGTTGGCATGTCTGCAAAATCATTTGGACAAAGCTAGGAAAGACATTTGCGGTTCCTTTGGACCGAACGACGTGGGCTTGGCTGTAATTGACTGGGAAGAATGGAGGCCCCTTTGGGACAGAAATTGGGGTGCTAAAGTTATTTACAAAACCCAATCTATTGATTTAGCTCACCAAAATAATACGACACTCACTTTTCAAAAGGCAGGCCTAGTTGCCAAAGCGGAGTTTGAAAAAGCTGGAAGGAATTTCATGCTAGAGACTTTAAAATTGGGACAATTACTACGGCCGAAATACTTATGGGGTTATTATCTTTTTCCTGATTGTTACAATCATAATTATACCAAAGACCGAGCTTACAATGGAAGTTGCCCTGATAAAGAAAAAGAAAGAAATAATTTGCTCCACTGGTTATGGAATGAAAGCACTGCCCTTTTCCCATCCGTTTATTTGAATACCGGAATAAATGGTTCCAATACTGCGCTCTTTGCCCGGAATCGTGTGCTGGAAGCCCTTCGAGTTTCTAAAGTGCGAAACAATACGGACCCGCTTCCAGTTTTTGTATATCTGCGTCTAGTTTTTACTGATAACTTTACGACTTTCCTTTGTAAGGTAAGAAAATCAAAGTATGAGGATTATGAATTAGTGTCCTCTGTAGTGTTCAATCGAATTTAATGTCATTTTTGAAGGAAGGGAAATTTAGCTTTTCATAGCCTTTAGGATCATGCACACAGGTAGGACACATCATGGCACAAATGCAGAATAAGAACGTTTTCCTCTAACGTCATTGCAATCATGGAGAATAAGGTAGTACAGGGGACGTTTCAACTCAGTCCCTTCCTTTTTATTTTCCTGGGCCTGCTCTCTTGTCAATAGAAGTAATTCAAATCATAACAGGAACTCTGTATGTTTGCTAGAGGAGGGCAGTGGTTATGTAAAACATGAAAATTAAACTGGGGAAGTATTAAAAAATGTTATTGTGGACCCTGTAGCTTAGCTCTGGTGTTACTGTCTGATATGTATAACACTTTCAAGTTATTCCCATCTGTTAACTTTCTCTGTTGCACCCACCAGGATGACCTTGTGCATACAATTGGGGAAAGCGTTGCTCTAGGCGCCTCTGGAATGGTAATATGGGGCAGCACCAATTTAACCCGAAATGAGGTAAGTTGTGTTGGTAGGCAAGGGATCAAAACATTTCTATGTTTAATGATTTGGGGGATGGTGTGATAATAAAAAATAAAAGAATACTATACGTGGCACATAAATAATGACTGAATCAAATTTCTCTTCATTTGTGGTTCTATTGTGATGCAGAATCTCTATAGCTGTTTCCATGAGGAAACAAATCAGTGAGGTTAATTAAGATTCTCGAGACTAGATGGCTAACAAGGACTAGAATGTGGTTTTATGGGCATCCCTGGTGGCTCAGGCGGTTGAGTGCCGCACTGTGAAGCTGTCCACAGCCTCTGCAGCACAGGTTTGATTCCCACCCGTGGTGGAGCAACCCACAGGGCAGGACAGACCTCTCCTGGCTCGCCTGCTGCTCCCCTCAGCAGTGTGCTTCAGCAGATCTGCCTGTTCTGCTCCCTGCTCTATCTCTGGTGAATCCTCTCACCCTCTACTCCTCTCGCCTTTACCCCAGTTCTTGTATAAATAAAATAAAATCTTTAAAAAAAATTTCCCTAGATTAGACAGCCAGTAAGTAGCCAATAGAGGACTAGAATGTGGTATTATGATATGATGTTTGGTTTTTTTTTCTACCACACCTGTGTGTCTCCTCTTAAAACAGGCTTTGTCTTCTCTTAAAAGAGTTGCAGTTAGTCACCATGCATTCCTTTGTTTTTTCTTTCATTTAACTGCTGTTTATTGAGTAATTATTTATTTGATTATTTGTTGAATGACACTCAGTTGCAGGGGTCAGCACTGATGACTGTGGACCAAGTCTGACCAGTTGCTTCCTCTGTCCAGCAACTTGGTCAAGACTCATTGATAGAGTTTTAAATGGGAAAATAATCAAAAGGAGAATAGTATTTCAGAATAAGTAAAAAAATATGGAAACTAATATGTTCCTGGGCATCAGTAAAACTTCACTGGCTCATAGTCCTGCTCATGTGTTGAGGTGCCCAGGGCTGCTGTGCACTTCTGAGGCACCAATGTATCATAAAGGCAGAGAGGGTATCGTTAAAACCTTAAAGTATTTGCTGTCTGGCTTATACCCAAAATGTTTGCCAACCCTTGAATTATTGAATGCCTGCTGTGGCTAAATGTCAAGTAATTTTTAGGGGCTGGAAATGTAATAATGAACAGATCACAGTTCCTCTCCCTGCATTCTCAGAGCTGGGAATGCAAGTACAGATAGAGCAGGTCCGGAGGATAAACGCAACAAAGAGCCAAGAAGCAGGGTGGGCAGGATGGAGCATGATGGAATGGTGATATTTTAGATGAGGCAGTCACAGGATGCTCTGGTGAGGTTGTGCAGCAGAGACCTGCTGAGTTAAGGAACCAAGTTTCTGGAGGTAAGTGCAATGGCCTGCAGGCTCCAATGTGCTTTGAAAGAAAGAGTGAGTGGGCCAGTGGGACTGGATGCAATGAGTAAGGAGGAGAAAGATAACAGATGTGGTTCTGAGATAGCAGGCAGTCATGTGTAGGCTTTTGCTCTGAGATGGGAAGCTACTAACATGTTTGAGCAGAAGAGTGGCAATCTCCGATGAACAAGTCAGAAGAAGTACTTAGCTCACTTGAGAATAGAAGGGAGAAGGGCTGAAGGGTAAGGTGCAACAGGGAGAGGAAACTAATGCAGGCTTGGTCCACAGGTGTGAGCAAGTGTTTGGCAGTGACTTTAATCAAACATTAGAACTGAGAGTGGATTGACCAGATATTGATGGGCAGAGTGGATAAGAGAAGCAGTAAGGTAGATGCCTCCAAGACTTCAGACTTGAAGGAGAAGCTTCTGAGATGGCATGAGCTTCAGGAGCAGCAGCACAGCAGGGGGATGCACAGCGGAGAAAAGGAGTGGGGAGTAGGGCAGGGATTGGGGCTAGGGTGGGCTTAGAAACAGATTAATTTTTGAATGAATAAATTGTTTAAAGGTTTCCTAATGGAGAGGAAGGAAACACTTCCTTATTTTCCACAGATTATATTTAATAGTGTGTGTGTATTTTTAGAAAACCTATTCATTAGGAATATAAACCTATTTTTTCTCTGTTTGGTATCATTTTTTTTTCCATTTCTCCAAATGCATTTTCTTGAACTCAAAAAAGCTTTCACTATTATGATCTAACCTTTGTCTCTCTTCCTTTATTTTTATCCTATTTTAGTTCTGTGTAACAGGTCTTTAACCTCTACCTCTTCAAACCTTTGACTCAATGCAAGAGTAAAGCTGTCACATGAACACAGAGGAATCGGAGCTAACTTTGTCCTTCATGGTGAATGTGGAGATGCTAGTGATGCCCATGCCTTGGAAAAATTGTGATGGACTCTTAGGGGCTTATCCTAGGAACAGAGAACAGAGACTTTGTATTCTAGGAGCAGAGGAGATCTTTTGATCACTTGTACTTAAGACAGAAAAAAAAAAAACATTTTACTTCATGAATAAAATACAGTTGTCACCTTTGATAAATTTTTAAAATAGTCCCAAGTCTTCTGCCTATTAGGTCTACTTCTATCCACTCTGATTTGATCACCAAATTGAAAAAAAAAAACAGAAAATAACTTTCAGAGAAGCTGAATCAATCAGTCTCTAATATAAGAACCTAATAATTTAGCATAAGCTTTCAGATTTAAAAAACTATTTAACAATTATAATTCTCCTACTTATAGTCCTGATTTTCATTATTTGTTTCCAAAATCTGTAAACTCTATTTGGAGGACCTGATCAATGTTAGGATGGAACCACTTAAAGATTTTCCTTACTGCATCCTTTTTCAGTAAAAGGAACTCTGGAGTCTCCTCTTACTCAGGTTAGGAATGACTGAGGTATTCACTAATTAGGAAGATGAATTGATGTACTATTTAATTGTCACACTTTTTATTGTTCTTTAATCTTCACATCTTCTGCTCTGACTCTCAGATCATCTTCGCCATTATTCACACAGAAGGGTCTTTTAACTTCAATGTGGCTATTTTCTACCTCATGAAACTGCCTTGGAATAGCCCACACGTACAGTAGAGAAATGGATTAGTTGTCATGATTCCTCTGATTCAATGGCAACTTGAGAGCCTTTAATTGCAGGTTTACTTGCAATGACTGAACTGACTTAAAAAATTATTTTCAAATGAAAGCAAACCATTTCCTTCCATTCTGCTTTATTAGTTTCAGTGACGAGACGGAACCAGTTTCTACTGGTCCCAACTCATGAGCTTCTCTATCTTAAAAAGCAGCAATACTGGGTTGATTTTCTCTTACCTTGGATTTGTCCTCCTCTTTGTATCTTATTTTACCAAACCCAACTGGAATCAGTTCTGTGTTTATGAGAACTAGACTGAGAGAATCCTGAAAATTCAGCTCCATGTCTCCCCATCTCAGTGTTCACACCCTTCATCATATCTGCAAAGTCCTTTTGCCATGTAAGATTGCAGTGTCACAGGTTCCAGGGAATAGGGTTTGGGCAGCCTTGGAAGGCCATTATTCTATGGAAGGGAAGGTAGCAGGAAATAGATTCAAGTGGAAGCTGCCAAGATTCCTCTACTTGCCTATTGACCTACCATCACATGCTTGATCTGCTGGAGACTAGAACCACGTCCTCAGCACTGTCATCATGAAAGAAAGTGACTATCTTCTGGGTATAGAAAAGGACAGTGTCCCAGTTTTAGGACACACTAGTTTCAAGATGGGTCATTTTCAATACTATTCCACAAATAAATGCATTTGTAAAAGAACTGCTTAATTCACCTATAACATGAACGATAGGTCACATTTACTATAAAGTTTATTCAGTTGTATGTCCCTCATTTTGAACTAGTAATACAGAAGCCATATCTTTCCAATGTTATTTAAATGTGCGTGGAAAATGAGATACTTACATTTATAATTTCTTGAGGAGTAATGATACACTGGTGCTATGCTAAGCACTTTTAAATGCCATGTATCTTTATACCACAACCCTGTGTAGTCCATGCTGTAATCATCCGACAGATGAGGAAGCAAATGGGTAGCTTGATTAATTCATCTGTCCAAGATTACTTGGATAGGAAACTCAGACCAAGAAGTTTGGAAGTTTCCTCAATTGATGCAGCTAATATTAGTGTAACTGAGACTCCCAACAGAGTAATAGGCTCCAGAGATAATGCTCTAACTGTTGTATGTTCTGTGCCTCATTCACCCCCATTAGTTTGTGAATTATTGAGGAAGACAAAGGCTAGTTTATTCTCAATTAATTAATCTGTGGCATGAAATCACATGTGAAACTTGCAAATGTTAGTACGTATATTTGGAATAGTCTTGCTTGTGCAGAAAAATATAAAATGTGTCCTATGTCTCCCTGGATTTATTTTTTCATGCTTCCTTAGAAAATGCTTATTGCTGGGAATTAAATCACAAACAAATTAACTTGCCCCTTCTTATTCTGACCTTCTTATAATTTTACAGACAGATTGCACGAACCTAGCCAATTATATGAAGAATACCCTGAATCCTTACATAATCAATGTCACCCTAGCAGCCAAAATGTGTAGCCAAGTGCTTTGCCAAGATCAGGGAGTGTGTATAAGGAGAAACTGGAATTCAAGCGACTATCTTCACCTGAACCCAAGGAAATTTACTATTCAAATGGTGAATGACAGAAAATATGTGTTAAAAGGGAAGCCCACACAGGACGACCTGCAGCAGTTTTCTCAAAAATTTCATTGCCGCTGTTATGCCAATATCCATTGTATGACAAGAGTGAATGTGACTACTACAAATCTTACCCATCTATGTGTTGGTAATGATGTTTGTATAGATGCCTTTGTAAACCCAGCACTCAGTGGTCCTTCTAAACTGAATGACAGATCTTCAGGTGCTTATAGCAGTGCTGCGTCTACTATACCATATGCTACAATGTCCCCACGTGCTTCTGGGAAAGTCCTCAATGAGAGCCTCCAAACAAAATGTTTAGTGGAAGCTGTCTCCAACATCCTCCAAGAAGAACATGAACGTTGCTTATATAATCTAAACACTCCTAATGAAACAACCTTTCCCTGTACAAGTTCAGTGCTTATTAAATTTCCTATCCACATACTTTATGTTTTTCTAGCTTTTACATTTTTATACTTAGTAACTTAAAAAATGATTATTTTCATGCACGTGATAATCCTTGGTTTGTATTTGAAGTGATGATAAAAACACATGGCTATGATAATGAATAGCTTGACATTTTGAGCAAAAATTATTTTCTTATGATCAAATGAAACTTTAAATTATTATTGATAGACAAGGAATGTTGACTACCACCTTTGATTTTCAAAATCATAGAACAGTGTTATTACTAAAACCATTGATAACAACAATATGATTGAAACTCCATTTGACTTGAATCCGGATTTTTAACAGAGCATACAATTTCTTTAAGATAATGTCCAAGTTATATCTTCTGGTTGCCATGATTCTGTAGCAAATATTTTGCGTACATGAATGTATATATACTGATTGTAAAAACTGTAATTCCTAAAACAACTGTCTACCTAGGTTTTGCCTGAGAAAAGTGAAGGTTTGGATAATACCACTTTATTACAAATGAATATCATTGTGAATGCACTCTAGTTCATAATAAAAGTTAAGAAAGTATTAATGAGGAAAACTCTTTTTCTTTTATAATGTCTATTGCTAGTCGGTCCTTAGCATAGAAATATGATTTCAGCTACTTCAGTTTAATCATTGCTTCCAGTTGTGTTGTATAAACAGTAGTCTTTAACAAGTGATTATCCTGTCAACTTGGCTTTTGAGTTAATGTCTTCAGAATTCATATAGTCGGTATTCCAATTGTCTTTTCATCCTTGGTTGTCAAGTTTGACAATTTTGTGCACCCAAAATGCCTTATTTCATCTAAGTATCCATCCCGATCCTTCAGAGAGCATTTATTGAGTGTTTTTTCTCTGCCAGGGTCAACAGAAGCATCACAGATAAGAGAGGAAGGAGAATGTTTCTTGCTATGCTGAATTAGGTGTATATTTGAAGAAGACAGACCTTGAAATTGAAAAATTACAACAGTGTGTGGTGAATGTTATGATAGAAACTCAGCACGCTGTGCATACAAATATGAATCCAAGAGTGCCTTTTATGCTATCTATGTGACCCAATAAAATTTTAATATATTGTGCTGATACAACATTGCTTATTTGATTTCTAGCACTTTAATATTCCACATATTAAAAACATACTTTAGCATAGGCACATAGTTTTAAAAGGAATATATTACGTTCCCCACACCAACTTGTTAATCCTAAACGGCACATAAAGGGATAAAGCTTGCGTGAATATACAGTTATGTACTTTATAGGGAAGAATCATTATGGATTTTATCTTTCTCTAAAATGTCTCTTAATTGCAGACCAGAAATAAAGAGATTTCAGGGTTAATCATTTTGCAAAAGCATAAAAAACTCTTTGATTGTAATAAGCAGTATATGAATGTTTTGGAAAATTGAGCAACCAAAAATATACATGTATATTTTGTATCTGGTAGAAAACATTAATCACTAACTTCATTAGTCAAGATTTCAGTGGCAAATACTTACTTTGTTTGTTTGTTTAAAGATTTATTTATTTATGCATACAATAACTGGGGTACAGGCCAGAGGTGGGGGTGTAGGGGGTGAGAGGATTCACCAGAGACAGAGTGGGGAACAGGGCAGGCAGAATGAATTACATACACTGCTGATGGGAGCAACAGGTGAGTCAGGAGATGTCTCTGCGCCATGAGGGTAGCTCCCTGGCCTGCTGGGGATTGAACTCGTGCTTCAGTGGCTGTGGACAACCTCATAGGCCGCGTTTTAACCCTTTGGGCCACAGGGATGTCCCTCGCAAATACTTTGAATGATGTTTCCATGTGATGCTAGGAAATAGCCTGACTGAAATTGCCAGTCACCATTTTAGAGCTCCTCACAGATAAAAAGAGCTTGCATTTTTTATTCAACACTGAATTATATGTTTTACATACAACTTCTCATTTAATTACCTAGTTTCCAGTTAAGGAAATGAGGCTGAAGTTGAGTAAACTCAAGGTAGCTATGATGCCGTTACAGAAGGAAGGAAAGTTTATACAACCTTCCTCTCTACCTCTTTGTTCGATGAAACATATTCAACCCTAATATGTTGTGTTCAACTCTGAGTTCCTACTTGTCAGAAGTTATTGACATTAAAGTCTAATTTATAAATATAAAATACAAACAAAAATAATTCTAATACCATGAATGAGAAGCAATATTATATAGGGTAACTTTCTAAAAATAAATTTTATTTTCATATCAAACACTGTATAATAACATAATAATAAATTTGTGAAATAGGAAATATAATGAAGGAAAACACCAATAATCACTGTAATATATACTAGTAACTCTTTTTTTTTTTTTTTAAGATTTATTTATTTATTTATTTATTTATTTATTTATTTATTTATTTATACAAGCACTGGGTACAGTCAGAAGCGCGGGAGAGTGAGGGAATTCACCAGAGCCAGAACGGGGAGCAGAACAGGCAGAGGGACCGAAACACACTGCTGAGGGGAGCAGCGGGAGGCAGGAGAGGTCCGCGCGCCATGTGGGACCCTCCTCTGGTGGCCTGGGAGCAGCCGGGGATCGAACCGGCGCTGCAGAGGCCGCGGGTAACTTGGAAAATCAGCGCTCAACCTATGCGCCACCGGGGAGGCCCTATACTGGTAACTCTTGGCATATTTCTTTCTAGTTTTCTTCTAAAGAATTTTTTTAAAATCATGGGTGTAATAATAATACATCTATATACTTGCATCCTATGTTTTTTCTTAGCCATATTTTTAGGCCATTATTTTAACCCAAATAATAATTTATCAGCTGGAAATAGCACAATTTAATTAACAATCTTCTGTAAGCTTTGATATGTAAATGGTAAGCTTTTACTATTTAATCACCTTATGAGAAAATATTGTACAGATCACCTTATCAGTTTATTCACTTATTAATCAATTTGTGCATTAATTAATTAATTAACCATTACTTCTTATCAGGTGCTGCTCCAGGCTTCAAAATAGATCCCTGAACAAAATAAGATCCCTGCCTTCCTTGAACATACATTCTAGTTGGAGGAGGCAGGCATCAATATTTACATAGCAGTTTATATAAAATGCTAACACTAAGGGAAAGAAAACAGAGCAGAGTGGGGAAGGTGGGATGTTCTTGTATTGGGTCTTATTGAGCAAATGCCGATTGGATGGGATTAGCTGTGAGAATATTTTGGGTAAGGATATTTTAGTACCTTTGGTGGTGGGCCTGGTGTATTCAAGGAATAGCAAAGAATGCTCTGGGGCTGAATCCTTCTCCTTACCATTAACTTCCGTTGCTTATTCCTTGAACTATAGCATTTATCATCATCTGACATAGTATATATTATATATTTGCTTATTTTCTGACTTAATTCTCTGGAATGTTAATTAGGAAAATGAAGACTTCATCTTGTTCTATGCAGAACAATACTTGCTACAATGCCTGGCACACAGTTGATGTTCAATATATACTTTGAGTGAATGAATGAGTGATTCATAAATCTGACTCAATAGTAGCTATAAATTTACTATGAGTTTTTTTTTAGCTCTGCACATTATAGTGAATGATTGCAAAGTCATTCTTAAGCATTGTTCTTTTCTTATCCTAGTACACTAGCACCTGGCTTCACGTGGTTTAAGTCCGTGTGAAGAGTTGAGGTCTGAAGAGAATACATCCCTGGACAAAGTCAAAAAGTCAGTGATCAACAAGTCTAATCTGGAACTCAAGTTGCTGAAATGTCACCATAACTGTCTGTAAGATGGAAACCAAATATGTTTACTTAGCTTTTGATGATGCCCATGAATTTACTGCATTTGTAATTAATTTTCAGTACTCATACTGGTAAAGTCCAATCAACTTCCAGATCTTTCAGCTCTAGGGTTTCTGCAGATGTAACTTAGCTCACTGCTTTTGGATGGGAAAGCCACCTGCTAAACTGCTTCATAACCACAGTTTCTGAGAACCTTTTCTAACTTCCTTTTAGGAAACAGCAAGCTACTCAGACTCACTACTCTTCAGAGTTCTCTTATACAGAAGGGAATTAATGATAGTAGCCTTTTGTGCACATTTAATGATATCAGGTAGGAAACATACTTGGCATAAAACCTGGCACATAAAAAAGTCCTGGCAAATGTTAGCTATTGTTATCAAGTACTGTCAATATTGATCCCTTGAAAGTCATGATAGGTAATATTTTCTCCATTTTGAAGTAAAAAATTATGTATGACTCAGAGTAGTGAAATGGGTTGCTTAATATTATTTAGAAGTACCTGTGCCTTGAACCCTTCTCTTTTGAACCTTAAACTTGTTATCTTTTCATTTCGGCAGAAGTATAGAAGACTATTGGCCCCAAATTCTTCTTTACTAGCTTACAGAGAAATATAACAACCCCAACTCACGACTATACTGATATTGATATCAGACAGTGCTTTTTTTTTTTTGACCACATGAAAGAAAAACTTAAATTTAAACAGTCTATAAGCAACCTACCCTTAACTCTCATGCTCTCAATATCTAAATGTCACTTCCCCATAAAAGGAACAAGCGTCTTTTAGGAAAGTGTCTGAGTCTAAAGTCTTTTTCCAATGTATGAGTCTGGGATATAATTGTTATGATAAAGTAAGGATGCTATCAAGGATTACTAGATTTTGATATCAAAAGAACTCATAAATCTTTTTTAAAATTAATTTATTTTTTTATGCAAGCCCTGGGTACAGTCAGAACCGCGGGAGGGTGAAAGAATTCACCAGAGCCAGAGCCGGGAACAGAACAGGCAGACTGATGAAATACACCGCTAAGAGGAGCAGTTGGCGGCAGGAGAGGTCTGCGCACCATGTGGGACCCTCGCCTGGTGGCCAGGGATCGAACCGGCACCGCAGAGGCTGCGGGCAGCTTCGCAGCCCTTCGTTCAATCGCTGCGCCACCACGGGAGGCCCCAGAACTCATAAATCTTGATGATACCATAAATCTTGATATCAAAAGAACTCAACAGTTTTAACCTTGACAAAGGTTGAAAAATTTGAGAATCATTAAATAACTGCAACAGACTGAAGTGCTTCAAACATATTTTAATCTATGATGTCAAATTATACTAAAGCAAAACTTTGTGGCCACCTTTGAAGAATGTTAAGAAACCAACTCCATACTTTGAAAACTAGTACATAAAAGGAAAGAATGGCGCCTCCGTGGTGGCACAGGCTTTTGAGCGCCGCACTGTGAAGCTGTCCGCAGCCTCTGCAACACGGGTTCCATCCCAGCCGGCCGGCTAGAAGCCCACAAGGCACGACAGACCTCTCCTGCGGTGCCTGCTGCTCCCCTCAGCAGTGTATTTCGTCAGTCTGCCTGTTCTGTTCCTCGCTCTGTCTCTGGTAAAGCCTCTCACCCTCGAGTGCATCTGGCCTGTACCCCAATTCCTGTATGAATAAATAAATCTTAAAAAAAAAAGGAAAGAATGAATCACTTACGGTATATTTTGCAAATGAACTATACCTCGGGGTAACTAAATAGTGAAAGAAGGGAAGTTTTTGGTCAAAGCAATGAATGAAGAAGCTTTAAAAGAATAACCATTTTGTAATTCTAATGAATTAACCGATTTAGACCCTCAGTGACTACTAAAAACACAAGAAGAGAGAAAAATTAAACATTACATTTTTCTCAATTCAATTATGCAGCACCAAAGTCGCATCGGGTCTCCACTAATTCACAGCGTACAAAGGAAACTCTTTTTTTTTTTTTTTAAGATTTATTTATTTATTTATACAAGCACTGGGTACAGTCAGAAGTGCGGGAGGGTGAGAGAATTCACCAGAGTCAGAGCGGGGAGCAGAACAGGCAGAAGGACCAAGGTACACTGCTGAGGGGATCAGCGGGCGCAGCAGGAGAGGTCTGTGCGCCAAGTGGGACCCTCGCCGGGTGGCTGGGAATCGAGCCATCGCTGCAGAGGCTGCGGGGAGCTTTGCAGCCCAGCGCTCAACCGCTACGCCACCAGGGAGGCCCACAAAGGAAACTCTTAAGGTACAAAGGGAAGTGTGGAACAGCATGCCAGGGAGGTAATGACCACAATTAATATCCTAGAAAAGTCTACAGGACAAATGGCATGTTTTATAAACAGATAAATTACAATAACAAAGCCAGGAGAACACATGTCTATCAATGTAGGTTCAGACTGATGCTGCCCTGTGCAGGATTTATGTGACGTTGCAGGCTCTTTTCTTCTTTCTCTTAAAAGATTTTTTTCTGAAAAAGCTTTCTTAATAAGTCACTTGCACACGAAAATTCATCTTAGGGACTGCTGTTGAAGAACTTGACCTAAGACCCATTTATTCCTCTAAATATGTAGTATCAAGCATAAATACAGGAGTTTGACTTGCATGGAAGCAATACTATGGAAAAGTCAAAACATAAATTGGAAAACACATTTGGAACGCATGACAATGTGCTAATTCTTTTTTTTTAATTTATTTATTTATGCATATAAGAGCTGAGGTACAGGCCAGAGTTTCAGGGGTGCGCTGAGAGGATTCACCAGAGACAGAGCGGGCAACAGAACAGGCAGACTGAAGAAATACACTGCCGAGGGGAACAGCAGACGAGACAGGACAGGTCTGCCTCGCCATGTGGGTTGCTCCCTGGACGGGCGGGGATCAAACTGGAGCTGCAGAGGCTGCAGAATGCTTCATAGTGTGGTGCTTAACACCTTGTGCCACCAGGGAGGCCCAACGTGCTAATCATTGTGTCTACTTCAGGAAGCCAATTCGAAATGACACAAACCTAACATGAAAAAGGACATAAATGTAAACTCACAGCAAAGAAAACACAAAAGGCTTGATATTTCAAAGGAAATTATGATTAAAATGACAATGAGAACTATTTTTACAGCTAATCAAAGATTTAACAAAATATAATATAAATTCACTTGAGTATTGGGGAAATACACACTCAGTAGTGCAGGAAGTGTTAACTGATACAAAATCTTTAATAAGAGTTAGCTTTAAAGGGCCTCCCCTGGTGGCGCAGGCTGTTGAGCCTGCGCTGTGAAGCTGTTCGCAGCATCTGCAGGGACAGTTGGATCCTGGCCGACCGGCGAGGGTCCCACATGGCGCGCAGACCTCTCCTGTTTCGCCCACTGCTCCCCTCAGCAGTGTACCTCGGTCCTTCTGCCTGCTCTGCTCCCCTCTCTGTCTCTGGGGAATCCTCTCACCCTCCCGCGAATCTGGCCTGTACCCTGGTTCTTGTATAAATAAAATAAAATCTTCAAAAAAAATTTTTTTTAAATGGTTGAATCAATAAATGAAGCAAATGGCACCTACCATGTGGTAGGTGACTCTAAAACATCTCCTCAATGTCCTTCTGTGATGTCTGAGGCATCTCTAGGGGGACTCCGTGGGAACCTACTGGACTATTACGTCACAAAAATCTAAATAGAAGCAAACACGGCTTAGAATTCAAGCAAGGGAGAGAAAGACATTTTTACTTAGGTTCTGGACCAGATCAGTCAGTATCATAAAACCGACTTTCATCACTTGCAAGCAACTAGATCGAAGGAGATCGGTGCTTGGTGCCTCGGGGTGCCCTAACCTGGCTTGTAGAGATCCTTGTCACGAGGTGATTCTTAAGAGAGCGTGCCGAGAAGCAGCCCAGTCAAAACTGGAGTAGTGCACGGGCCATTGAATAATTTAAGGAGAAAAGCGAACAACAGGCTACAGAGGAAACTGAAGGCACCAGCACCTGCGGAGCAGGCAGCATTTGGTAAAAGGCCGCTTTCAGCGCGAGAGGGTTGCTTACAGCAGGTGCAGGCGGGTACCTTGAGAGCACCGAGGCCGGCTTGCCCTCAAGCTTAGGCTTGGAGCAAGTTTGGGGGTGCAAGGCTTATTCCTGAAGTACAGGGAGGCACTTGAGGGGCCAACCAATTTAGGCACATGTATGACCAAAAATAATGGAAACTCCACAATTTTGTCACTAGCAGGATAAGGAAGGGGCAGGCTGGAGGGTGGAACCGTCTTGGTCCCTTCTGGTTGTTTCCGGAGTCATGGTTCAGTTGCTTCCAGAGTCACCGACTAGCAACTCCATCCAACTCTAATAGAGACTTGAGGGTTCCTGGCCTAATTTTAGCCGCCTATTAGTTTGGGACCTTGATTCTAGTGTCTCTCATATCTCTCTCTCTCTCTCTCTCTCTCTCTCCTCCCCCAAGCACTTTCTAGAATTCTAAAATTTTATTCTAAATCCCTAAAGATAGTCAGAAACATCTGAACAGTCACCCACAGATCCCTAGAGCCAGAGAACCTACGTAACGTTACTGCAATTGGAGTGCAGTCCTCATTTACATCGCAGAACTAGGAGCCTCCAGGCCTTTGCCAGTGGAGTAGATATGGCTGAAGTCTGAATCCAAGAGACTAGGCTAAATTCCTTGACCTTAGGTAAAGAGAACTTGAGTAGTGTCTATCAAATGGAGCCAACACTTACTTACTTCATGGGGTCATTGGGATTAATGTGCAGAGGCTGAGATAGAGGAGAGGAAGGGAGAGGAAAGAGAAGAAGAGAGAAAAGTGAAAATATTAGTGACTAGTCTACTCTCTCTCAGACTTGGGACTCAAGCTACAGTAGATTCAGGCCAATGCCCTTGTCCTCCTTTTCCTGCTTTGCCTTAATATCACCAAGTGGGTAGGCTCAGTGCTCACAGTTCTACACTTCACCCAGTCTTCGTTTATTTTCCTGAGGAAGTTATGTGTAGCAAAGTTGCACTTAACTAATTACTGTTGGCAAAGTTAGAAAGTAATATGTATTCACCAGAAGGTAAAATATTCCCATAAATCAAATTTACCTTTCATTTCAGGAGTATTAGTCTTTTAGTTCACATAATTTCTTATTTATTTTTTAAAGATCGATTTCATTTAATTTTGCATACAAGCTGGGGTGTAGGTCAGAGGTTCAGGGGGTGAGAGGATTCACCAAAGACAAAGTGGGGGGCAGAACAGGCAGATTGACTTGAAATACAGTGCTGAGAAAAGCAGCAGGGGGAGCAGGAGAGGTCTGCTGCACCATGTGTGTCAGCTCCCAGGACAGGGATTGAACTCATGCTGCAGTGGCTGCCAATAGCTGCCAATAGCTTGATAGTGCTGAGAATTAACCCCTTGTGCCATCAGGGAGGCCCCAATTTCTTATTCTTAGTGCTTAGTCTACATGATGTGGAAAGCTAGTTAATTTAAAATATAGTATTTACATTCTCTTGATCACAATGGGGAGACCTAAGTTAAAACAGGATACGTAACTTGTCAATGCTGTAACCTTTAGGTATTTGGAGTAAATGCAAAAAGAAACAATAGCCCAGTAAAAAAAAACTAAACAATGAGGTCATCATTCCATCAAAGTTATCTAAACACCGAAGAGGCAATTGGTGGTAGAGAGAGAGAACTGCCCTTGAGTCTAATTAAATGCATACCTTTGAATATATTTAGACTGAGATTTAATTCCATTTTTTCCCAATGAAGTTGATTCCAATAGCAGAGTACAATAGTAATCGTAAAAGCAGAAAGTTGTTTGTCAAATATGTACCATATTAGATGATTAAAACCCACTCTCCCTTTTCAGAAAATGTGATGTTTGTTTCATGTGTTCATCTCCATGATAGTAACTCATCCAACAGATGTCATTGTAAAGAGCAAGAACCTCAGAATTAGTTGGGTTTTCTATTTTTGATGGCAGGCAAATTATTTAAAAATTCTTATGATTATTTCCTCATTTGGGAAATGAGGATGACTCTTAACCCTGCTGTTACTGTGGCCTTTACATACTGTAATTATCTACTGAAAGCCCTTAGATGACTTTATAATCAGTTGTTGATTGGTTTTTAGATATTTGGTTGACATTGCTTTTTTGTGAAGGAGTAAAATAAGCCTCCTCTTCCCTAAGTTGTCTAGAACAATCTTCCCAATATGTATCACCTTGGCATGTGGAGCTTAAGGTCAATCAAGCTCCTGCAGGCTTTAAGAAAAACTGCTAGTCTCTTGATTTCTTAGAGGAATGAAGATTGGGGGTATAAATCAGATTTAAGGTTATCTCTGGAAATGAACTTGCTGTCAGAGACACCCATCTGTAGTTACAGAATATCTGGTTTTTATGAGCCACACTCCCCTCCTCATATAAGTTCCCCTCCTCTATCCTTGAAGTCTAGGCCCCTATCCCCTTCATTAACTCAAGAATAAATACCTTCAGTCAATTCTATTTAGAATATACAGCCTGGTAAATTCTCCATATGCATGTAATTAAATTTGTCCTTTTTCTCCTACTAATCTGTCTGATGTTCATTTGTTTGCTCAACAAACACAGGATGAACCTAAAGGAATAAGAGGTGTGAGGTGGGATCCCAGGGGAATGAGGTATTTATTCATTAGTGCCATAAGAATCTATTACTGCAAAACCTTTCTTCCTCCAAGAAGCTGCAATGTTCATGTGGACAATGAAATGTTTGGGTTATATTTTTCTTTGAATACTGACTGAAAAATTGTCATACACTGAATCGCCACACTTTTCTTCAAAGTGGAGAAAGAGATGAACATGTTCTGAAGATATTTTATGTCTTGAATGTTCAGCAGTTGTTTTGCTCTCACAAAATTCACATTCTTTGTAGTTAGCGTGCAAAGCATGCCTTTTTAGGAAGATCGATGTAAAACCTTCAAATGTTGAATACATTTGAACCAGTCCTCCATACTTAGAAAATTTAGTCTGCATGTTAAGTGCTTGATTTAGAGACCAGGTATCAGCATAGGCTGCAAATATTCGAAACAGATAAGGGGAATAACACCTTTTGTAGTATCTTTTGAAGCTGACCTCAGAGCTTCTTCTATAACAGCATTTATCTTCAGCATTGTCAAATGTGCTTGGTTACATTTGATGCAATTAGGTCCTTGCTGCTTTTGGACAAAGAAAATTTATGAGCAGATTGGTGTTTTCTATTTGTCTTAGATAATGGTGGGTATTTGCATATTTGATATGATCCCACAGGTAAAAGTTTTAGTAACTATGACTTTGAGAACTCAAGAATTAAAAAGCAAAAGTCATCTGACTGGTCAAGGGAAGAGAAACACTTGTTCTAGATCATAAGACCAGTTCTATATTGTTGACCTCAAAGCAACCAGGTATTGAGAAATATGCAATTCAGAAAGTATAGTTTCAAGAGGGACACGTGTGTTCTTCCCATATGCTATAGATTGAGGTAGCCACATAAAAAAGAACCTCCTTTTTTCCACTGGGGTTAGGAAGCAGCATCACTTCCTGTTGGAGATGCAAATCTAGTTGGCTCTTATTGTTTGCTGATTTTGTGTGCTTAATTTTTTCTAGCCTCCTGACCTCATTTAAATAACATTTTGTTTGTCCACTTCATTATGCAAGGCACTGGTAATAAAGGAAGTGTTATTCTTAAACTTTGACATGACAAGTTCTAAGCCCTTACTGCTTATATGTGGAAGGCAAATAAGCCACTCTAATGACAGAAGACACAGTGTACATTCCAGGTATATTATGGTGGGATGTTGGGTGGATTGCAAATTAGACTTCACTGAGCTCAGTCTGGGGTTTGAAAAGTAGCATTGCAGAGACAATCCCTCGCAATGCTATTGTGTGTTTAATAGGCCTCTAGAATGTAGAGACTTTTCGACACTATTCAATCATTCAGTTGCTCCATTTCAGTCATATCTGTGTGTGTCAATACTTCATGCTTGGACAGACTTGTCTTCTGAGTAATGTTTGAACTCTGTGCCTTTTGGATGGCACGTTGTTTCATTTTGATTTTGAACATCTTTATTTAAAGAATCATGGGCCATGATTTGGAATTACAGAAGTTCAAAGTACAACAAATTCATTTATTTAATTAATTATCTCATTTGGTATGCATGAGATGGGAAACTGGCCTTTTTTTCCCCATCACATTTATCTGACTGAGCTCTCTTTTGGATGAGAGCTAAATCCTGGTTCCTGAGTCCTTTATTGTGGACATGACTTCTACCAAGAATGCTGCAAAGTTAGCTGAACAAGGACCCCTAGTCCTCAGTGTCTAATCACCATAGAGAGCAAAGGTTGCTCATCTCCCACCATCTCTCAGGTGATATCTGATCACCCTGGCCTACATTCTTCAAGAACAATCTTTGTCAGTTTAAGCAAAATTTCCCCTTACCCTTGATGTGCTCTCAAAATAGTTTTCCATCCACTACCCCCTATCTCCTGATTCTGATTCTTGGTAAAAATTCCCACTTTTCCTGGTTGTATTCTGAATTGAGTTCTGTTCTATACTAAGGTCTCTTTCCTCCTATAGTAACAGTTTTTCTTCATCAGAGTTGTTTTTATTGCTTTAACTAGAGTCTAGCTCTGGTTTTGCTTGGACAGTTCTGAGGTTCTGGAGGATATGCTTTCAGATTTTGTTTGAACATCTCATTTTCAAGTGTTACCATGGGCCATAATTTTGAGTTTATTGAAATTCAAAGTCTATCAAGTTCATTCATATAGTGAATTCATTAAATCTTTTAGCATGTATCAATTGAGTATGAATTGACTCTGAATGTTCCACATAAACTAATCCTACAATTAAATGTCTATTATATATATCTATTACATACATTCTTTAAGGAGGTATCTGAAGGTCTGCAAGGGTGTTTTGTGTACAGATACTATTATAAATGCATTCACAATCTTCCCATCTGAAAAAAATTCTTATTCTCAATAAAATCCTTTTGGAATTGATCTACATGCATTTTCAAAGGATGAAATATTAATATCCTTTACAACCTACACATGCAACTTTAAGGACATAATACTTAGGATTCGTGTTTAATCAGACTATGGTCTGTTAGCATCTTAGATAAGTTATGTTCTAATTATGCCATGGCACAACAGGGCAAACTTCCCTTGCATAAAATAAACACATATATAATATATCACTGTGTTTGACTAGAGCAATTAAATATAATTTGATTTGGGGAAATGTTCCTGAAAAATTTTGCTACTTATATGATTCTTTTTCTTCTCTCTCCCTTCCCACCTTAAGAAAAGAAGCACGACTTAGAAAACTAGTATTTTCTTTCCAATAAACAATAAACATCAAACATGACTATTGCTACCATTTTGAAAATATTAATTCTAGTATATTTTGTAAATTTTTTTAAAGATTTAATTATTTATGCATACAAGAACTGGGGTACAGACTAGAGGTGTGGGGGTGAGTGGATTCACCAGAGAGAAAGTGGGGAACAGAACGGGCAGATAGACTGAAGGACACTGCTGTGGGGACCAGCAGGCAAGCCAGAAGATGTCTGCTGCACCATGTGGGTTCTTCCCTGCCCGGGGATTCAACTAGTGCTGCAGTGGCTGTGGACAGCTTCATAGGTTGCGTCTTAACCATTTGCGCCACCAGGGAGGCCCATATTTTGTAAATTTTATAAGGAGAATTTCTTTCTACTTTTACAATGAATGTTGGTTTCATCGATGGCAGTGTTAAAGTTTGTTCTTTATCTATAATACATTGCCTTAATCTGTCGTCAACTGCGGTGAGGCCTTGTTGGTTCTTAAACACATTTCAAAAGCTAGTAAAAAATTTATAGCATTCTTATGTTTATTTACCATCCTTGCTAATCTCTGTTACAAGACACTTGGATTTGTTGGGATTCAAAAGCACACACAGAAGACACACACACACACACATCTCCCTTGCTCCATCACACAAAAAATATCAAAAGATTAAGTCTTTCGATAATTGACTGGCAGAGCTGTCTTCTCTTACCCAACAGGTTAAATGCTGCAGAGCTATTAGATTGCCTGGAACGCTTTCTGACCGACTGACATCTTAGAGGAAAACTGTAAAATTTTTACTTCAGAAGTAAGTTGTCCTATTTTTTCCCCCTTTTTACTGCATAGCCTGCTAGGGAAAATTGTATACAACTTTCTGTGAAAAAGGATTGGAAGTTCTATAATATGCCTTGTTTTTAAGGCTACCTGTTTAGTTTGGGGAGTAGTTTGGTATATAATTGTGCTTGGCTTGGATACACAGATTAAAGATTAACAATTTCTTTAGCCCTGAGGATTTTAAGTCCATGTAAATCTTAGCTGTGGGAAACACTGATGAAGTTGATATGACGGTAAGAGAAGGTATCAAGGGAGAGAGAAATAATGATAATGATAAAGGGAAAGAGAAAAAGAAAAGAAGTTGATGAAATGCCACCAAAATTGTACATCTTCTCTTGCTGAATTAAGTTCAACATCTTACTTGATGATATCTGGCCAAGTTACTTATAAAACATCATAGTTTAACAAAAAATTTCCTAGAGAATGATAGCTTGCTTGAAGGCTCCTTTCCTTCCTGAACATATATTTAATTAGTTTTAAGGGAAGAAACATACACCCGCATATTTCTGCTATCAGAATATTTTGCAGGTTACTTATTTTAGAAGTCTGGGAGAACAGAGCTTGGAGATTCTCTTGTACTGGAGGTAGAAGTAGCTTTGGGGTTGGAATTATAAACAAAGTACTAAGGAAATGATACACATCCTATAAATTTGATTACTAGATGAGGGTGACAAATGATGGAGGGAAGAATAGAAAACCAAAAGGAAGCATCCTCCATCACAAGGACAATGAATTTGGGGTCCCCAGCTCTCCTGGAATTTTGCTTCTTTTCCCCTTCCACATTAAAGAATGATTCCCAAAGTATTCATGGATATAATTTGAATACATTAAATTGCTGTCTTTTTTTTTTTCCTGAGGTTTCCCGATGGTAGTGACTAGTTGCTGAGTATTTGAACAATGCCATTACCTTCCTTAGTTGTTGTGAGTAGTTTAGAGTAGTGGAGAATGAGGAAGGGCTATTGGAATGACTTCCCTCTTGGGGTTCAATCTTTCATCATTCCTTTTCCATTCGTAAAGTGTATTTCAAAAACTGCAACTCTGCAGTAGTAGAGGGGCCAATTGGTCCCTGCTCCTTAGTCTTTTAGCCAAACATCTTTACAAGGAAGATGTTATTTTAGATGCTAATCTCCAAGTCTGTTGCCAATTGTGTCCCCAAGGTTTTAGATGTACACTAAAAAAATACGCTTTCCTCATGTGTGTTTGTGTGTTGTTAATATGCTTTGTAAAAGAATAGTTTTATAAAAAAGTTAATTCTTTAATTTCTTTTTTTATTACATTTTTATTCTTTATTTTTTTAAAATAAATTTTATTTTTATATTCCCCATACAATTGCAACCCCCCATTCTGACCCCAATCCCTCCCCTCTCGCCCCCACTCCCCACCCCCCATAAAGTGTCTCTGGTTCATAGTTTTTTGTTGATTTTGATTTTCACTTTCTTATAGTTATTCATTTTCCTGGTCCCTTATTTAAGTTTTCTAGATTCCTGCTATGAGTGAGACCATCCGGTATTTTTCTTTTTCTTTTTGGCTTATTTCGCTGAGCATGATTCCTTCCAGCACCATCCATGTTGCTGCAAATTGCATGTGTTTATCTTTTTTGAATGCTGAGTAATATTACATGCTATATATGTACCACATCTTCTTGATCCAATCATCTATTTTTGGGCATTTGGGCGGTTTCCAAAGCTTAGCTATTGTAAACAGTGCTGCTATAAACATAGGGGTGCAGGTGTTCTTTGGAATTGATGTTTCTGTGTCCTTTGGGTAAATACCTAGGAGTGGAATTGCTGGATCATATGGAAGCTCTATGTTTAGTAGGTCCAGAAATCTCCACACAGCTCTCCATAGTGGTTGGACCAGTTTGCACTCCCACCAACAGTGCAGAAGAGTTTCTTTTTCTCCACACCCTCACCAACATTTGTTGTTGCTAGTTTTTTAATATGTGCCATTCTCACTGGTGTAAGATGGTATCTCATGGTGGTTTTGATTTGCATTTTCCTGATTACAAGTGATGTGGAACATTTTTTCATATGCCTGTTGGCCATTTGCATTTCCTCTTCAGAGAAGTTTCTTTTTAGCACTTCTGACCATTTTTTGAATGGATTATTTTCTTTGTTGTTGTTGAGTCTCATCAGCTCTTTGCAGATTTTTGTCATCAGTCCTTTATCATTAGTGTTGTGTGCAAAAATGTTCTCCCAGTTGGTGGGGTTTCTCTTTATTTTTGTTATTGTCTCTTTTGCTGTGCAGAAGCTCTTTAATTTGATGTAATCCCAGCTGTTTATCTTTGCCTTCACTATCACTGCTTTGGGTGACGTGTCTGTGAAGATGTCTGATGTGCAAATCACGTAGTGTTTTGCCTATATTTCCTTCTATGTATTTTATGGTTTCAGGTCTTATTTCTAGTTCTTTAATCCATTTTGAGTTGATTTTTGTGTATGGTGTGAGGTAGTGGTCAAGCTTCATTCTTTTGCATGTAGCGACCCAGTTTTCCCAGCACCATTTATTGAACAGACTTTCTTTGCTCCAATGCATAGTCTTTGCTCCTTTGTCAAAGATTAGTTGACCATAAATCTGTGGGTTTATTTCTGGATTTTCTATTTGATTCCATTGGTCTGTATGTCTGTTCTTGTTCCAATACCATGAAGTTTTGATGATTATGGCTTTGTAGTAGAGTTTGAAGTCTGGGAGTGTGATGCCTCCATTCCCTTCTTTTTTTTTTTCAGGAGAGCTTTGGCTATTCGGGGTTTTTTGTGATTCCATATGAATTTCATCAATAATTGTTCTATTTCTTTGAAGAATGACATTGAAATTTTGATTGGAATAGCATTGAATCTGTATATTGCTTTTGGAAGGATGGCCATTTTAATAATGTTTATTCTTCCAATCCATGAGCAAGGGATGTCTTTCCATTTCTTTGTGTCTTCTTCTTTTCTTTTAACAGTGTTTTATAGTTTTCTTTGTATAGGGCCTTTACCTCTTTTGGTAGATTTATTCCCAAATATTTGATTTTTTTTGTTTCGATAATAAAAGGGATGTTTTTTTTTATTTCTTCTTCTTCAGATTTATTGTTTGTGTATAGGAAGGCTACTGACTTTTGCGTGTTGATTTTGTATCCTGACACTTTACTGAACTGATTGATGAGTTGAATTAGTTTTTCTGTGGAGTTTTTGGGGTTCTCATATCATCTGCAAATAGTAATAGTTTGACTTCTTCTTTTCCTATTTGGATTCCTTGTATGTCTTTCTCATGTCTTATTGCTCTGGCTAGGACTTCCAGTATTATATTGAAAAGCAGTGGTGAAAGTGGACATCCTTGTCTTGTTCCAGATCTTAATGGAAATGCTTTCAGCTTTTCACCATTGAGAATGATACTGGCTGTTGGGTTGTCATAGATGGCCTTTATGATCTTGAGGTACGTTCCTTGTATCCCAAGAATATCAAGGGTTTTTATCATGAATGGGTGTTGTACTTGGTCGAAAGCTTTCTCAGCATCTATTGATATTATCATATGGTTTTTATATTTCTTTTTGTTGATGTGTTGGATAACGTTGATTGATTTTCGGATGTTAAACCATCCTTGTGTCCCTGGAATGAATCCTACTTGGTCGTGGTGAATTATCTTATGGATACATTGTTGGATTCTGATAGCTAAAATTTTATTGAGGATTTTTGCATCAGTGTTCATTAGGGAGATTGGCCTGTAGTTTTCCTTTTTTGTGTTGTCCTTGTTTGGTTTTGGCATTAGTGTAATGCTGGCCTCATAGAACGTGTTTGGTATTGTCCCTTCCTTCTCAATTTTTTGGAAGAGTTTGTGAAGGATAGGCACTAATTGGTCTCTGAATGTTTGGTAGAATTCATTTGTAAATCCATCAGGTCCTGGGCTTTTGTTTTTGGGCAGGTTTTTGATTACCATTTCAATTTCACTGCTTGATTTTGGTCTGTTTAGCTGTTCTATTTCTTCTTTATCTAGCTTTGGGTGATTGTAGAGTTGTAGGAATTTGTCCATCTCCTCTAGATTGTTGAACTTGTTTCCATATAACTGTTCATAGGAGTTACTGATTATTCTTTTGATTTCTGCTGTGTCCGTTGTGATTTCTACTCTTTCATTTATGATCCTGTTTATTTGTGCTTTCTCCCTTTTTTCCTTTGTGAGCCTGGCTAGGGGTTTGTCTATTTTATTGATTTTTTCAAAGAACCAGCTCTTGGTTTCATTGATCTTTTGGATTGTTTTTTTAGTTTCAATTGCATTTATTTCTGCTTTGGTTTTTATTATTTCTTTTCTTCTACTGGTTTTGGGGTTTTTTTGTTGTTCTTTTTCTAGATCTTTGAGCTTCGAGATTAGGTTGTTTCTTTGAGTTCTTTCTTGTTTCTTGATGTGAGCTTCTATTGCTATATATTTTCCTCTTATTACTGCTTTTGCTGAATCCCATACATTTAGGATATTGGTGTCCTCCTTGTTATTCAATTCAAAGAATTTTTTAATCTCTTCTTTGATCTCCTCATTAGTCCAGTGGTCTTTCAGTAGTGTGGTTTTTAATCTCCAGAGGTAGGAAAGTTCCTTGCCTTCTTTTTATGGTTTATTTCTAGTTTGATGCCTTCATGGTCAGAAAAGATGGTTGGTATGATTTCAATCTTGGTGTATCTGTTGATGTTTGTCTTGTGCCCCAGTATGTGATCGATCCTGGAGAATGATCCATGTGCGCTTGAGAAAAATGTGTACTCCGTTTTTTGGGGGTTTAGTGTTCTATAGATGTCTGTTAAGCCCAAATGCTTTAGGTCCTTATTTAGAGCTTTAGTTTCTTTACTTATTTTTTGTCTTGTTGATCTATCCATTGCTGATAGTGGTGTGTTGAAGTCTCCCACTACGTATGTGTTTTCTCTGATGTCTGTTTTCAGAGAGGACAACAGTTGTCTGATATATTTTGGTGCTCCTTCGTTTGGTGAGTATATGTAAATGAGTGTTATTTCTTCTTGAAGTATTGTCCCCTTGATCATAATGTAGTGACCGTTGGGGTCTCTTTTTATTTTTTTGAGTTTGAAGTCTGTTTTATCTGATATAAGTATAGCTGTTCCTGCTTTCTCTTTTGGTCATTTGCTTGTAGGATTGTTTTCCACCCTTTAACTTTGACCCTATTTTTATCTTTTGTAGCTAAATGTGTTTCCTGGAGACAGCAAAAGGTTGGGTTTTGTTTCTTAATCCAGGCTGCAACTCTGTGTCTTTTTTTTGAAGAATTTAGTCCATTTACATTTAGAGTTAATATTGATATGTTAGCATCTGTATTTGCCATTGTGTTTGTCTTTCCTTTGATTTTATTTATTTATTCTTTTAATAATTTATTTTTTTGGCCTTCTTTTGTTGTTATTCGTCCTTCTGAGGTTCTGGCTTTAGGATTCCTTAAAGTATTTTTTGGAGTGGGGGTTTAGTCGTAATGAAATTCCAGAGTTTCTGTTTGTCTGGGAAGGTCCTTATTCTTTCTTCATAGAGGAAGGAGAGCTTTGTGGCATAAAGTATTCTTGGTTGGCATCTGTTTTCTTGGAGTCTGTTGACTATGTCCCTCCACTCTCTCCTTACCCATAGTGTTTCTTCAGAGAAGTCTGATGTCATCCTGATTGGTTTTCCTTTGAATGTTATCTGTTTCTTCCCTCTTGTCAGCTTCATTATTTTTTCCTTGTCCTGGATTCTTGGGAGGTTTACTATTATGTGTCTTGCTGTATTTTTCCTTTCGTCGTGGAAGTTTGGTGTTCTTCTTGCTTCTTGTATATCAATTTTCAGCTCCTTCTTCACATTTGGGAAGTTCTCTTCAATTATATCCTGGAATATTTTCTCTGTTCCTACATCTCTCTCCTCTCCTTCTGGAATTCCTATAACTCTTGTATTTCCTTTCCTCATGGAGTCAGATAGTTCCCGAAGTCTTTCTTCGTTCTTTTTCCTTTGTACTTCTCTTCCCTTTTCTGTTTTGGTTCTTTTTATTTCTGTGTCTTCAAGAGTACTTATTTGTTCTTCCATTTCATCTATTCTGCTTTCATTGCTTTTCCCAGAGTTCTTTAGTTCCTCCATTAATTCTTTGATCTCCTGCGTTTCTTTTACTTCCCTCTTTAGGGACTCAATTTCATTCTTCTGATCGTTGATTATTTTTCTCATATCATTGTTTTCCTTTATGACTTCTGTCACTTTTTTAATCATGGCAATTTTAAATTCTCTTTCTGGAAGGCTCAGAAGTTCTTCCAAGTTACTGTTGTTGTAATCTGGGAGGTGGTTTTCTTTTTGTGGTGTGCTTTTTTCCTGAGGAGTTGTTAGGTTGCGTGTGGTTCTTCTACTCACTATTGTCTGTTTTCTAATTTGTTGTATGCATTGGGACACTGTGTTGCCCAGACTGGCTGGCCTCTTGGGTGCACTTCTCCGCTCCCCTCTGGCTCCTCCAGGAGCCATCTCTGGCTTCTGAGGGCACTTTCTGCTGGTTTCATGCAGTCTTTACTGAAGAAATGTCCCTGTTCTAAAATGGCGATGGGGGACACAGTCCCTGTGCATCCAGTCTCAGGCACACTCTTCTGTGCGCCCGGTCTGCCCCGGCCGTGGGTGCCTGCTCCCTCTGTGGGCTCAGACTGCTGGTCAGAAGGGGCCTGGCGTGGGCTAACTTCCTAGCTGGCCACTGTCTCCTCCGGGAGCCTTCTGCCCTTTTCAAGCGGTCTTTTCTTAATAAATTTCCCGTCCGGCCCGGGGCTGTGTGCAGGTCTCCAGAGTCTTTGTTGTTCTCTAATGGCGCCCGGAGCCGTTCACTCACCGCCGCGGCGAATCCTTCAGGGTTATCCACAGCTCCCGTTCACGGGGTGCGGTGGCTGCAATAGTTCCTTTCCACTCACACTACCACTTGATATGTAGTTTGTTCTTGTTGGTCATTTTAGTTTTTTTTTTTTTCCTCCTCTCTGTTGGTCAGAGAGTGCAGACTTTGTGAGTGGGGGAGGGGAGCAGGGTTCTGCACTTTCCTCCCTTCTAGTCCTCTTTTTATGGCAACTTTCTTCTTCGGGTAGTTTGCGGGAGTCGCCTGTTTATCTTCCGTGTCCCAGTTCTCACTGGAACCTGCCGCTTTTCCTCCCTATTAACTTTTTTTAATGGGAGATCTTACTCACAGCGTCTCCTCGCTGCCATGTTGCTCCGCCCCTCCTAATTCTTTAATTTCTTGACTGATTTACTGGGTTCTAGTTAGGGGATATAAATTTTACAAAGACAAAATTTCATGTGGGGAAGAAAAGTGAAGTGGTAAAATAATTTTTTGTCTCTTTCCTTCATTTTGTTACCTGCCTAAGAGTTACAATCAAAATTCATTGTTGTGGAATCTGTATTTTCATGCCAACATTCCATTTGCTTTACACCTCAGCCAGTCTCCCATTTTGGGTTATTGAATAATCCATGTTGGATTATTCTCCTGTATCTATCTAATTCCTGCCTCCAATCCCAGCCCAACTCCTACAAGGGTTTGTCCAACTTCAACACCCTTCTCTATCTGGAACCACATGGCATTTATCTAGGTCACTTCTTTATTTGGCTCTCCAGGTGCCTTAGGCATACCCTACAATGTCATTGCACTCTTTATATCTAGTCCTCATTTTCTGTATTTGAAATTGCATTTGGTAATCTGTAGTCCACGTGAATCATCATCATGGAAGATGGATTTTTCTCTATCCTGGACAGAGTGGAATTGCTGGGTCATAAACCCTAGAAGTCTGACAGGTAGAACTAAGGCTATTGGAGAGATTGGGGGAGGGCAGAGAGCAGGGTGTGAAAGGGGACCCGTAGGCTATGGTGGAGAACTGTGGGTGCCATGGTGGTAGGTGTGGTGTGGAGCATGCATCTGAGGAGGTGTGATCTATTTCTCTGAATCACACATGGGGAGTAAACCAATGCTACCTCAAACACAACTAATTACTTAAATTAAAAAAAAAAAAAAAACAGTGAGGAGTAAATGTAAAAAAGAAAAGGAACAAAAGAACACCAGACTCAAAACAAAATGAAATCTTCAATGCCATTACAATCTCATGGCTTGACAATAACAGATTTCACCTGTAATAATTATAACATATAAAGGAGCTAAAGATTTTTGTAATTTAAGTTCTAAAATTTTACTTCTTTAGGACATAGAAAATGGGAAGGGAAGAAAGGATAATTGGCTTCATCCCTCCTCTGTAGGCTCAGGAATGTTTTGAGACGATGAGGCAAACTTTTGCTATCACAGAATCTGTATCTTACATAAGAGAAAAAAATTTTGTTGATTTCAAATGCAGGAGAAGTCCTCCATTTTCTAAAATAAATGAAGCTCTCTGAGCTTAAATTTGAGTAATTGATAAGCTTCCAAACTCTGAGACAAAAATGTAATTAACAATATATTCCTTTATTTCCCAATCACCGATAAGGAACTTACAACACATCCCAGAAACATATATGAAGAATAACACTTAAATATACCATTATAATATCCCTCCTCTGTGCTTCTATTTTACAGCAAATACTAAATAAACCAAAGTGTCCAGGAAGAAAGAAGTGATTTTTCACAGTTATTTTCTTTGCCATGGGAGTGCTAATGTTCAAGCACATCTTCTTCAGAAGCTTTCTTGGATTCCATGCAACACTCCTTCTGTTTCCAGTCTGTTTGACGCAAGATTATACAGCCTTTCCTATTTTTCCAAATGCTTCTTTCCTCTGGGCTTGGAATGTCGCAATTCACAATTGTGTTAATTTCAGTATAAAGATAGATTTGAGCCTCTTCTCCTTATCAGGAAGCCCCGGGCTACACCGCCCAGGACAAGGTGTTGTAATATTTTATAAGGAAAAGCTGGGCCACTATCCTTATGTACATAAAGGTAACAATGTGAGTGGAGGAATCCCTCAGTTGGCAAATCTGCAAAGTCATTTGGACCAAGCTAGGAAAGACATTTGCGGTTCCTTTAGACCAAACGACGTGGGCTTGGCTGTAATTGACTGGGAAGAATGGAGGCCCCTTTGGGAAAGAAATTGGGTTGCAAAAGCTGTTTACAAAAATCAATCTATTGATTTAGTTCTCCAAAAGAATAAGACACTCAATTCTACATATGCAGAACTAGTTGCCAAAGCGGAGTTTGAAAAAGCTGGAAGGGATTTCATGCTAGAGACTTTAGAATTGGGACTATTACTACGGCCAAAATACTTATGGGGTTTTTATCTTTTTCCTGATTGTTACAATCATCGTTATGAGAAAGAACGAGCTTACAATGGAAGTTGCCTTGATAAAGAAAAAGAAAATAATGATTTGCTTGACTGGTTATGGAAAGGAAGCACTGCCCTTTACCCATCCATTTATTTGAATACCAGAATAAATGGTTCCAATACTGCGCTCTTTGCCCGGAATCGTGTGCTGGAAGCCCTTCGAGTTTCTAAAGTGCGAAACAATATGGACCCGCTTCCAGTTTTTGTATATTTCCGTCTAGTTTTCACTGATAAAATTAAGACTTTCCTTAGTGAGGTAAGAAAATCAAAGTACGAGGATTATGAATTAGTGTCCTCTGTAGTGTTCAATCAATTTAATGTCAATTTTGAAGGAAGGGAAATATAGCTTTTCATAGCCTTTAGGATCATACACACAGGTAGGACGCATCATGGCACAAATGCAGAATAAGAACGTTTTTCTCTAACGTCATTGCAATCATGGAGAATAAGGTAGTACAGGAGACGTTTCAACTCAGTCCCTTCCTTTTTATTTTCCTGGGCTTGCTCTCTTGTCAATAGAAGTAATTCAAATCATAACAGGAACTCTGTATGTTTGCTATAGGAGGGCGGTGGTTATGTAAAACATGAAAATTAAACTGGGGAAGTATTTAAAAATATTATTGTGGACCCTGTAGCTTAGCTCTGTGGACTGTCTGATATGTATAACACTTTCAAGTTATTCCCATCTGTTAACACTCTCTGTTGCACCCACCAGGATGACCTTGTGCATACAATTGGGGAAAGCGTTGCTCTAGGCGCCTCTGGAATGGTAATATGGGGCAGCTCCAATTTAACCCGAAATCAGGTAAGTTGTGTTGGTAGGCAAGGGATCAAAACATTTCTATGTTTAATGATCTGGGGGATGTTGTGATAATAAAAAATAAAAGAATACTATAGTGGCACATACATAATGACTGAATCAAATTTCTCTTCATTTGTGGTTCTATTGTGATGCAGAATCTCTATAGCTGTTTCCATGAGGAAACAAATCAGTGAGGTTAATTAAGATTCTCGAGACTAGATGGCTAACAAGGACTAGAATGTGGTTTTATGGGCATCCCTGGTGGCTCAGGCGGTTGAGCGCCGCACTGTGAAGCTGTCCACAGCCTCTGCAGCACAGGTTTGATTCCGACCCATGGTGGAGCAACCCACAGGGAAGGATAGACCTCTCCTGCTGCTCCCCTCAGCAGTGTGTTTCAACAGATCTGCCTGTTCTGCTCCCCGCTCTGTCTCTGGTGAATCCTCTCACCCTCCACTCCTCTAGCCTTTACCCCAGTTCTTGTATAAATAAAATAAAATCTTTAAAAAAAATTCCCTAGACTAGACAGTCAGTAAGTATCCAATAGAGGACTAGAATGTGGTTTTATGACATGGTGTTTGTTTTTTTTTTTTCTACCACACCTGTGTGTCTCTTCTTAAAAGAGGCTTTGTCTTCTCTTAAAAGAGTTGCAGTTAGTCACCATGCATTCCTTTGTTTTTTCTTTCATTTAACTGCTGTTTATTGAGTAATTATTTATTTGATTATTTGTTGAATGACACTCAGTTGCAGGGGTCAGCACTGATGACTGTGGACCAAGTCTGACCAGTTGCTTCCTCTGTCCAGCAACTTGGTCAAGACTCATTGATAGAGTTTTAAATGGGAAAATAATCAAAAGGAGAATAGTATTTCAGAATAAGTAAAAAAATATGGAAACTAATATGTTCCTGGGCATCAGTAAAACTTCACTGGCTCATAGTCCTGCTCATGTGTTGAGGTGCCCAGGGCTGCTGTGCACTTCTGAGGCACCAATGTATCATAAAGGCAGAGATGGTATCGTTAAAACCTTAAAGTATTTGCTGTCTGGCTTATACCCAAAATGTTTGCCAACCCTTGAATTATTGAATGCCTGCTGTGGCTAAATGTCAAGTAATTTTTAGGGGCTGGAAATGTAATAAGGAACAGATCACAGTTCCTCTCCCTGCATTCTCAGAGCTGGGAATGCAAGTACAGATAGAGCAGGTCCGGAGGATAAACGCAACAAAGAGCCAAGAAGCAGGGTGGGCAGGATGGAGCATGATGGAATGGTGATATTTTAGATGAGGCAGTCACAGGATGCTCTGGTGAGGTTGTGCAGCAGAGACCTGCTGAGTTAAGGAACCAAGTTTCTGGAGGTAAGTGCAATGGCCTGCAGGCTCCACTGTGCTTTGAAAGAAAGAGTGAGTGGGCCAGTGGGACTGGATGCAATGAGTAAGGAGGAGAAAGATAACAGATGTGGTTCTGAGATAGCAGGCAGTCATGTGTGGGCTTTTGCTCTGAGATGGGAAGCTACTAACATGTTTGAGCAGAAGAGTGGCAATCTCTGATGAACAAGTCAGAAGAAGTACTTAGCTCACTTGAGAATAGAAGGCAGAAGGGGAGAAGGGTAAGGTGCAGCAGGGAGAGGAAACTAATGCAGGCTTGGACCATAGGTGTGAGCAAGTGTTTGGCAGTGACTTTAATCAAACATTAGAACTGAGAGTGGATTGACCAGATATTGATGGGCAGAGTGGATAAGAGAAGCAGTAAGGTAGATGCCTCCAAGACTTCAGACTTGAAGGAGAAGCTTCTGAGATAGCATGAGCTTCAGGAGCAGCAGCACAGCAGGGGGATGCACAGCGGAGAAAAGGAGTGGGGAGTACGGCAGGGATTGGGGCTGGGGTGGGCTTAGAAACAGTCAGGTTAATTTTTGAATGAATAAATCGTTTAAAGGTTTCCTAATGGAGAGGAAGGAAACCCTTCCTTATTTTCCACAGATTATATTTAGTAGTGTATGTGTATTTTTAGAAAACCTATTCATTAGGAATATAAACCTGTTTTTTCTCTGTTTGGTATCATTTTTTTTGCATTTTCTCCAAATGCATTTTCTTGAGCTCAAAAAAAGCTTTCACTGTTACGATCTAACCTTTGTCTCTCTTCCTTTATTTTTATCCTATTTTAGTTCTGTGTATCAGGTCTTTAACCTCTACCTCTTCAAACCTTTGACTCAATGCAAGAGTAAAGCTGTCACATGAACACTGAGGAATCGGAGCTGACTTTGTCCTTTGTGGTGAATGTGGAGATGCTAGTGATGCCCGTGCTTTGGAAAAATTGTGATGGACTCTTAGGGGCTTGTCCTAGGAACAGAGAACAGAGACTTTGTATTCTAGGAGCAGAGGAGATCTTTTGATCATTTGTACTTAAGACAGAAAAAAAAAAAACATTTTACTTCATGAATAAAATACAGTTGTCACCTTTGATAAATTTTTAAAATAGTCTCAAGTCTTCTGCCTATTAGGCAGAAGGTCACATTTACTGATTTGATCACCAAATTAAAAAAAAAAAACAGAAAATAACTTTCAGAGAAGCTGAATCAATCAGTCTCTAATATAAGAACCTAATAATTTAGCATAAGCTTTCAGATTTAAAAAGCTATTAAACAATTATAATTCTCCTACTTATAGTCCTGATTTTCATTATTTGTTTCCAAAATCTGTAAACTCTATTTGGAGGACCTGATCAATGTTAGGATGGAACCACTTAAAGATTTTCCTTACTGCATACTTTTTCAGTAAAAGGAACTCTGGAGTCTCCTCTTACTCAGGTGAGGAATGACTCAGGTATTCACTAATTAGAAAGATGAATTGATGTACTATTTAATTGTCACACTTTTTATTCTTTAATCTTCACATCTTCTGCTCTGACTCTCAGATCATCTTTGCCATTATTCACACAGAAGGGTCCTTTAACTTCAATGTGGCTATTTTCTACCTCATGACACTGCCTTGGAATAGCCCCTATGTACAGTAGAGCAATGGGTTATTTGTCATGATTCCTCTGATTCAATGGCAACCTGAGAGCCTTTAATTGCAGGTTTACTTGCAATGACTAAACTGACTTAAAAAATTATTTTCAAATGAAAGCAAACCATTTCTTTCCATTCTGCTTTATTAGTTCCAGTGACGAGGAGGAACCAGTTTCTACTGGTCCCAACTCATGAGCTTTTCTATCTTAAAAAGCAGCAACACTGGGTTGATTTTCTCTTACCTTGGATTTGTCCTCCTCTTTGTATCTTATTTTACCAAACCCAACTGGAATCAGTTCTGTGTTTATGAGAACTAGACTGAGAGAATCCTTAAAATTCTCCATGTCTCCCCATCTCAGTGTTCACACCCTTCATCATATCTGCAAAGTCTTTTGCCATGTAAGATTGCAGTGTCACAGGTTCTGGGGAATAGGGTTTGGGCAGCCTTGGAAGGCCATTATTCTGTGGAAGGGAAGGTAGCAGGAAATAGATTCAAGAGGAAGCTGCCAAGATTCCTCCACTTGCCTATTGACCTACCATCACCTGCTTGATCTGCTGAAGACTAGAACCACCTCCTCAGCACTGTCATCATGAAAGAAAGTGACTATCTTCTGGGTATAGAAAAAGACAGTGTCCCAGTTTTAGGACACACTAGTTTCAAGATGGGTCATTTTCAATACTCAGATTCCACAAATAAATGCATTTGTAAAAGAACTGCTTAATTCACCCATAACATGAACGATAGGTCACATTTACTATAAAGTTTATTCAGTTGTATGTCCCTTATTTTGAACTAGTAATACAGAAGCCATATCTTTCCGATGTTATTTAAATGTGCGTGGAAAATGTGATACTTATATTTATAATTTCTTGAGGAGTAATGATACACTGGTGCTATGCTAAGCACTTTTAAATAACATGTATCTTTATACCACAACCCTGTGTAGTCCATGCTGTAATCATCCGACAGATGAGGAAGCAAATGGGTAGCTTGATTAATTCATCTGTCCAAGATTACTTGGATAGGAAACTCAGACCAAGAAAGTTTGGAAGTTTCCTCAATTGATGCAGCTAATATTAGTGTAACTGAGACTCCCAACAGAGTAATGGGCTCCAGAGGTAATGCTCTAACTGCTGTATGTTCTGTGCCTCATTCACCCCCATTAGTTTGTGAATTACTGAGGAAGACAAAGGCTAGTTTATTCTCAATTAATTAATCTGTGGCATGAAATGGCATGTGAAACTTGCAAATGTTAGTACGTATATTTGGAATAGTCTTGCTTGTGCAGAAAAATATAAAATGTATCCTATGTCTCCCTGGATTTATTTTTTCATGCTTCCTTAGAAAATGCTTATTGCTGGGAATTAAATCACAAACAAATTAACTTGCCCCTTCTTATTCTGACCTTCTTATAATTTTACAGACAGATTGCACGAACCTAGCCAATTTTATGAAGAATACCCTGAATCGTTACATAATCAATGTCACCCTAGCAGCCAAAATGTGTAGCCAAGTGCTTTGCCAAGATCAGGGAGTGTGTATAAGGAGAAACTGGAATTCAAGCGACTATCTTCACCTGAACCCAAAGATATTTACTATTCAAATTTTGAACGACGGAAAATATGTGGTAAAAGGGAAGCCCACACAGGACGACCTACAGCAATTTTATCAAAAATTTCATTGCAGCTGTTATGCCAATATCCGTTGTATGACTAGAGTGAATGTGACTACTACAAATCTTACCCCTCTATGTGTTGGTAATAATATTTGTATAGATGCCTTTGTAAACTCAGCTCTCAGTGGTCCTTCTAAATTGAGTGGCATCTCTTCAGGTGCTTATAGCAGTGCTGCGTCTACTATACCATATACTACAATGTCCCCATGTGCTTCTGGAAAAGACCTCAATGAGAGCCTCCAAACAAAATGCTTAGTGGAAGCTATCTCCAACATCCTCCAAGAAGAACATGAGCGTACCTTATGTAATCTAACCACTCCTAATGAAACAACCTTTACCAGTACAAGTTCAGTGCTTATTAAATTTCCTATCTACATACTTTATGTTTTTATAGCTTTTACATTTTTATACTTAGTAACTTAAAAAATGATTTTTTTCATGCACGTGATAATCCTTAGTTTGTATTTGAAGTGATGATAAAAACACTTGGCTATGATAATGAATAGCTTGACATTTTGAGCAAAAATTATTTTCTTATGATCAAATGAAACTTTAAATTATTTTAATGATAAACAAGGAATGTTGACTACCACCTTTGATTTTCAAAATCATAGAACAGTGTTATTACTAAAACCATTGATACAACAATATGATTGAAACTCCATTTGACTTGAATCCGGATTTTTAACAGAGCATACAATTTCTTTAAGATGATGTCCAAGTTATATATTCTGGTTGCTATGATTCTGTAGCAAATATTTTGCACACATGAATGTATATATACTGATTGTAAAAACTGATTGTAATTCCTAAAACAACTGTCTACCTAGGTTTTGCCTGAGAAAAGTGAAGGTTTGGATAATACCACTTTACTACAAATGAGTATCACTGTAGTTCATAAAAAAAATGTTAAGAAAGTAATAATGAGGAAAACTCTTTTTCTTTTTTAATGTCTATTGCTAGTTGGTCCTTAGCATAGAAATATGATTTCAGCTACTTCAGTTTAATCATTGCTTCCAGTTGTGTTGTATAAACAGTAGCCTTTAACAAGTGATTATCCTGTCAACTTGGCTTTTGAGTTAATGTCTTCAGAATTCATATAGTCGGTATTCTGATTGTCTTTTCATCCTTGGTTGTCAAGTTTGACAATCTTGTGCACCCAAAATGCCTTATTTCATCTAAGTATCCATCCCGATCCTTTAGAGAGCATTTATTGAGTGTTTTTTTTTTCTCTGCCAGGTTCAATGGGAAAGATCACATATTCAAGAGGAGGGAGAATGTTTCTTGCTATGCTGAGTTTGGTGTATATTTGAAGAAGATTGACCTTGAAATTGAAAAATTACAGCGGTGTGTGGTGAATGTTATGATAGAAACTCAGCATACTGTCGCATAAAAACATGATTCCATGAGTGCCTTTTATGCTATATCTATAAGTGACCCAATAAAATTTTAATATGTTGTGCTGATACAACACTGCTTATTTGGTTTCTAGCACTTTAGCATTCCACATAGTTAATAACATATTTCAGCATAGGCACATAGTTTTTAAAAAAATGTATTACTTTCCCCACACCAACTTGTTAATCCTAAATAACAAATAAAGGGATAAGGCTTGTGTGAATATATGATTATGTACTTTCTAGGAAAGAAATCATTATGGAGGATTTTCCTTCTCTAAAATGTCTCTTAATTGCAGACCAGAAATAAAAGAGATTTCAGGGTTAATCATTTTGCAAAAGTATGAAAAACACTTTGATTGTAATAAGCAGTATATGAATGTTTTGAAAAATTAAACAACCAAAAATATACACATGTATTTTGTATTCATTAGAAAACATTAATCACTAACTTCATTAGTCACTGACTTCGGTGGCAAATACTTTTTTGTTGTTGTTGTTTTTTAAAGATTTATTTATTTATGCATCCAAGAACAGGGGTACAGGCCAGAGGGGTGTGTTTGGGAGGTGAGAGGATTCACCATAGACAGAATAGGGGACAGAACAGGCAGAGTGACCAAAAGGGGAGCGGCAGGTGAGACAAGAGAGGTGTACTGTGCCATGTGGGTATCTCCCTGGCCGACCAGGGATCAAACTCGTGCTTCAGTGGTTGTGGACAGCTTCGTAGGCTGCGTCTTAACCACTTGCGCCACCAGGGAAGCCCCTGGCAAATGCTTTGAATGATATTTCCATATGATGCTAGGAACTAGCCTGACTGAAATTGCCAATCACTATTTTAGAGCTCCTCACAGATAAAAAGAGCTTCCATTATTAGTCAACAATTACATGTTTTACATACAACTTCTCGTTTAATCACCTAGTTTCCAGTTAAGGAAATGAGCCTGAAGTTGAGTGACTCACCTAGGCTCATATAGGTAGAGCTGGAAAGAAAACCTGGGTGGCTTTGACTCCGAGTCTGTGTACCACACCATTGCATTGTACTGCCTTCCCATAAGGCTCTTAGATGAGCAAACATTCTGGCACCTACAACTCAGAACTAGTTCTTATGTCTTCGTTTTACTCCATGCTCTAAACTAGCCTGTGAGGATGGATGTCTGACAATGACTGAGAGCTATTCTGAGTGCTAGTCCCTCGGCCATAGGGGATCAAGAAACAATTTATACCTTCTACATGTAACTTCTATGTTAAAAGGAGAAACTGGAATTCAAAGAAAGAGGAAACGTGTATAGGCTACTAGGAATTTGCATCATACTCAGCCTCACTCCAGACAGATACGATCATAAACTTTATATTTCCAACAGCAGGGGGCAGTAGGACACCAGCGTCTATCCCCTGGGCTTTTCAACCACACTGTCTCCATGTCATCAAGATTTTTGATTTCAGCAAGCAGAAATAAGTAGTCACCTGCTAGCTCATTAGGTTACAGCAGCAAGTCAGCTTATCTTTCAGATAAAAAGAGTTAAGATGCTAATAACAGAATACAGAGTAATGTTGCTGGTTTGTAATTGTTTTGGTAGTACTCTGTCTTTAAAGGTGACTTTTAAAGTTTGGCTTGTGAAACTGATTTAAAAGTGACTTTTTTTCAAGTAGCAAACGTTATTTTGGCAATGAGGACACTAGTGAATGGGAAGGTTAGCGATGATGTCTTCCCTGTGATTATTTTGTGTATTCTTAATGGGCAGACTGTAAACTGTGGACTCTAATATATACTAGTTGTGAGACAGCATGGTTGTGTGCTTTTGTGTGTGAAAGAGAGAGAAAAGAGAGAGAGAGTGGGAAGAGGGAGAAGAAGCAGAGGAGAAGCAGGGAAGAGAAGGGGGAGAGGGAAAATCTGGGCATTACTGAAACAAAAATGCATTTGGTAGGAGATGGGAGTCAGAGCTAGAAAGGTAAAAAGAAGTCAGATATGAAGCATCTTCTGGGCTAATGCTCACAAACCTGTCATTGATTCTTTATGCAGGTTTGGAATGGTGAGAGTCTGTAGAGATGAATGAGTTGAGGGAAATTGGGTCATCCAGCCTGAAGGCAGGAAAACCAGTCAGAGGCTTGTCGTTATTATCTAGAGCAGAAATTAGAAAGTCTTGAACTCCAGGGGTTGCCTAGTCTCCAGTAGGAATGGAGAGAAGAGGCTTGACTTGGAAATCAATCATCCATTCCATGCTGCTGGTCCAGAGAAGGCACGGAAGCCAATGTGACACTAGCTTCTTTCAAAGGCGCTGTCCACTCATGAAAAAGCAGCCAGTTTGGGTACTCATGTGAATATGTTGTACCCGAGGGGTCTACACGGTGTCCAGAAAGGTGTTTTGTTTATAAAATGATATAATTTGGAGGTTTAAGGGAGAGATTAGGGCTGTGTCACTATTAATGAGTAATAATGATAGAGAGACAGAATGCCTGAGAGCTTGAGAAAATTGCCTCTGGAACCTGTCCGGAGCCGCCTGGAGCATGCGCCGTGTTGCGCAACACACGTGCCATTAATTAGTTTTCGCTTTACCGTTTTGCCTGCTGAGAAACCACAGGTGTTTCCTATTAATCAAATGAGACTGGGAGGTACGATGGGAGGAGCTACCAGGATATAAGAGGAGAACCACGAGAAGGTCAGGAGGTCATTGCGAGAGGTTATTGCGAGAGAAGGTCAGGGAAGGTAGAAAGACAGGGAAAAGTAAAAGAAAGGAAAAGGAAAAAAGAAAAATAAAGAAGTAAACGCTAGCGTCAAGTTGTCTCAAGCCCCTCATTTCAATCCTCAGCCCTTCTCTTCCCGTGCCTCTGAACCCCGCGGGTCGGGACAGGTGGCACCCAGCGCGGGGCACGAAGAAGAACGAAGGAACCGCTGAAGGACCAGCTGTGGTGAGCCGGCAAGTAAAGTAAAGTAAGGTAGCTGGGATTCATGGGCAATTCAATGTCCAAGGGGCAGTTAGTTATTTCCCTGGAAGCTCTTCTAAAAGAGTTTGGGGTTCCTCTCAGTAGAAAAATTCTTAAAGGATTTGTAGAGACCCTTAGTATTACTAGTAAATGGTTTCTGAAGCAGGATCAGGTCGATAGTGACAATTGGAATAAGGTGAAAGGAGATATTGTCTTGCATCAGCAATTATATGGCCTTGAGTCTCTTCCTTGCACTACTTTGACGGTCTGGGGAGTGGTGGGAGATGCTCTTAATGCTGGTGGCACTGCTGCCGTTCAGTTAGCCACTGAGGCCGTCAGGACAGCGAGACAAACGGAGGAAGATAGAAGTTCCATTGTGAGTTCTACATCGGTAAGTCCCCCTTCCTCTACTCAAAAAATACCAACAGCCCCTCCCCTAGATTATTCTACTGATGAGTCGGGAGGAGATGAGGAACAGGATGAGAAAGGCTTCGGTTGTTATAAGCCAGGGAAGCGTAAAAGGAGATGGAAAACACCTGGGGAGCCACCTCCTGCGCCACCTCCTAGAACACTCGACAGGGTTGATCTTCCGTTAATGGAAAGACTGTGCTCTATGATGGAAAGAGTCCTGGTTTCCCAGGCTCCTAATTATGCTTACCCAGTCGTGGAAGGGACAGATCCTCAAGGGGTGCTTACTAGAGTACATGTCTCCATCGACACATTCTCCGGTTTTCTTTTCGCCTCCCCACATTGCGGTGAAAAGACTTCTGATGTCCGCTCACATTTGCTACAAGCGTTTGCGGTAATGGGCCGCCCACGTGTCATTAAGACAGATAATGGTCCAGGTTATACCAGTAAGGCTTTTGCCTCCTTTTGTGCGGTCCATCGCATTGTGCACAAAACAGGAATTCCATACAACCCGCAGGGGCAGGGTATAGTTGAACGTGCCCATGGTTCTCTGAAGACTATGCTTTTAAAACAAACTGGGAGAACATTCCCCCAGGGACCGTTTGACTACAGCTCTCTTTACCCTTAATTTTTTGACCCTAGATACCCAGGGGCGGTCAGCTGCTGATCGGCACTGGTCGCCAGACCCTCGGCAGGTCACGATGCTGCAAGCGAAATGGAAGGACCCAGTTAATAATGAGTGGCAACCACCCGCACCAGTATTAATACAGCTGCCCGGCAGCATTTGTCTTTTCCCACAGGATGCGGAATCACCCCAATGGGTTCCTGCTCGATTGGTTCGGTTTGTCGATGTACCTGACCCTGCTAACCTTGATGACACGAGCGTCCCAGATGTCAGTACGATGGGCGATTGTGCATCAGCTTTTTTTTTGCTCCTTTTTGATCGTCATGATTCCACTTTTCCGCAAGTATTTGCCACTAATCTTACTATTGGTCTGGCTTCCAAGCCATTGGATAGTGCCCTGTTGGGCCAGGGTGAGGTAAAATTATTTAATGACATTTAATCTGCAAACATTAGTTCTACCATTGAACAATCCGTTAGTATCCAGAATAATAGATCAGAGAGTTTGTCTACTGTTGTTTGCCTGTCCCCTCCTTCTTTTTTGTCCTCTTCAATAATGCAGGAAATGCAACTGTGTTGAATTGTTCAGCGGAGCCCTGCACCCTCTCTGCCTGCTGGACCCGGAGTGCAGAGAGGGCAGTGATCGTTCGTCTGCCTTCTACTTTAGTCATACCCGTGGATGTTTCTGCACATCTTTCTCCTGTTCTACCTAGAAGGAGACGTGATTTTGGCATCACTGCAGCTGTTGTCGCTGTTTCAATAGTGGTGGCCGCGGCTGCTGCCACCGTCTGTCACTCAAACTGCTGCAAATGCTGACACTATAAACAATTTAGTTGCCAATGTTGTTTTTGTGTTATAACATAGCAAGATATGAATGAACATTTATGAAATGGACTTTTGATGCTTAATTAGCAGATAGCTCTGATGTAAAAAGAGATACACACTTTTGTTAACTGCTCACATGCATTGTAACTTTTTGTACAGTTTTATTTGTGTAATTCCTGTTATGGTGAAAAATATGTTTATGGAAGAAAATAGGTTAAATAGTGCAATCAGAGGACCTTGGAACCACCAGCTCCTGAACCTGACCTCTCAATTGGCGAGACAGCTCATAAC